TGAACCGACGACCGAGCCAGTCAGACAAGTCACCAGCGATGAGAGCACCAAAGAAAGTTCCAGCAGAGAGAATCGAGGTAATCAAAGACTTCTTCCAGGAGGGCAAAACGAATTTATCGGTGGGAGTAGTAGCATAATCCTAAGCCAGCTGGGGTTAGTGTCGCGTGACGGAGTGGATGGGGATCGCAGAGGCAGAACCACATACCAGACCCTCGAAGCGTTCGATAAAGTAGCGCATGCCCATGACACCACTGATATAACCGGAGTCATAACCGAAGAAGATACCACCGAAGGCAGCAAAGGCACACATCAAGTAGGCCTTGACTGTGACGGGGGCCTCGACCCGCTGGCCGTTCACCGTGCCGTCAGCCATGATGACTGGTAGGAGTTGAGCAGCGTGTGGTGATGTGATGCTCTATGTAAACCAAGGAGGTATAGACAGCGAGATAGTCACAGCACGGAAAGAAGGATGACACAGGTGTCGAACCAAGACACACCAAGAGATGAGAAGTGTGAAGGTCGAAGGAAGAGAAGGAAGAGAGTTGCGGTGAGAAGATGCACAAACAAACCGGCCGGGGGGGAGCTGCAGGCGTTTTTATAATCTGGAACCCCGATCAGGAAGGGAAAGGAAGAGGGAGAGGGGAAGAAGTTTGCATTCGGGCCAGACCCGGACCCGGGGAAGAAAGTGGATGGAAGTTGCCCACGGGGATTTCCCCAACCGTCGGGATCGTGAGGGAATGGAGCGAGAGTGAGTCTTCGTCCCTTCCCCCATTCACTTGACTTCTTTTTGCCTTCGTCTTGCCCCGATTAGGAATGGAGCCTTTCCTCGGCCAACGCCGCCATCTTCAGCGATTTGCCATCGTTCCGAGGACTGCCCGAGCAGACCCTCACTAGCTGGATATTTCGAAAATTGACCAGTCTAGGGTCTAGGTTGCTCTTCGCATACCTTCTCGATGACCACCGCTCCCGAGTCCAGTTTTGGAGCCGAGGGAGTCCAACCCTGGGTTTGTGTTTCAGTATCCACTTTGTCAAGTACAGTACTTGGAAGTGGATGGGGGGAGGGTGGTTTTCTTTTTTTTTTTTCCAGCCGCATATGGTACGACCGTAAGCATGGTTGTTACTAGTTGTCACTGGTTTAAGGCTGACCTACTATACTCCGATTAGTTCTAGTCAGGCCAGCCCAACCAGCGAGACACTATATACAGTACTCCCGTTCACCCATGGGGTAAATGCAGGGTATGCTCACTTAGTGGGAAGAGTAGGTGTTTGCAGTAGGATGGGGTAGTAGTAGTAGAAGTACTCCAGAGCAGTAGTACGGGGTAAGATCCCGATTCAGTCAAAAGGCGTCAACCATGTGCCAGGCGGGAGGTGCCTCGGGCTGGCTGACTTCTGTCTGTCTGTCTGTTCTCTACCATTCTCTCTCCCTCTCCCTCCACATTCCAACTCTATTGTTCCAGCCAACGAAAGGCTCGGGTCATAACCGGCGAGCCACTCGGGCAAGGCCCTCTCGTCGCTTGAAGAACCACCGCGGTGATTGGGTGGAGCGAGCTGGGGTCGGAAATTTTCCCCTACCACGTGTGCCGTCTGGGGGGGGGGGGGGGATCAAGAATGAGGTCTCCACCAGCACGGGGAGGGATTGGTGAACAATGCTGGATTTTAAGGTTAGGCGCTGGGTCGGGGCTAACCGACTTCAGCTCCAGCCCGGGGTTCAGGTACTTTAGTGACTGGTCTAGTCTCGTCTCAGACAGTCAGACTCTCCTCTCACTTCCCTCGTCCCGCATCACGAGTTCCAATCCGGGGTTGAATTTTTCAGGTAAGCGAAATGCCCAGACCTGGAAACTGCAACCCCAAGCCCAGCCTGCCAGGAGCCCCCAGGAAACAACTGGAACTTGCGTCTGACCACCACTGACCAACCACTACCAAATTAGATTTACCTTACCATTGAGATGTTCTGTAACCTCTTGACTTTTGGGGGGTTTGACTTTGAAATTTGCCTTCTGACATCTTAGCTTCTTTGTCATTAATCGATCGGATCTGACCGACGTGGTGTGCATGGCAGTAGTAGTACACGTATCTAGGATCTGGGGTGGTAGACGAGGGTATTGCCACTGACTGGGGCTCAGGTCGCGCGGGGAGCACAGCAGGCCCAGAAGCGAGAGAGAGAATCGGGAGAGGGGTGACATGCCAAGAGACTTGGCACTTACAAAGGTTGCACCCGCAGCAGCAGTTTTTTTTCTTCTTCTTTTTTCTCTGTTTTTCCCCCTTGGCACCACCCACCCGACGGGCTTTACCCCCTCCTCCTCTCACTCCTCCTCCCCCTCCCCAGGTTTGTTGTTGGTCCCTCCCCCGTTCCTTTCGAATGCGGGGGGGAGGGGGGGAAGAGAAAAATCGGAGTTGAATCCCGTGCACTTCTCTCAAACTTCCAATCCATGGATCGGTTCCGGTGAGTGTTTTGCGTTAGGTAGCAAAGGGATATGACAGTCAATATGCACTCATACCATTACTGTAAGCCAAGGTGGTACGTACTGTGATCCCGCTACAAATAGCCTACCTACTCCGTAGACTACCAGCAGGATACGAAGGGCATTTTCCCTCCCAAGACCGTGGAACAGACCTCATTGGGCGTATTCGCGCCACCTCGTGTCTTGGCTGGGTTTTTGCCGTGTGGCACACACACACACACACACACACACACGTTCTGTTTCTCTCTGTCACCCACGCTCCTTTCCGCCCCCAGACTTGCCCTTCCTTCCTTCCTTGCTTGCTGGCCTGCTGGCTTGCTTGCCGGCTTGACTGGCCTGCTGCAGTGGTTGAATTTCCCTTGTAAAAGTGGGCATGATTTCGGAGTCGGGTTCGTTCCCGGAACTGCTCCTGGAACCACCACCCTGCAAAATGGTCTGATGCGGTGTCATGATTGTGTATCCCCCCTTTCCAACCACATCTGGGGATTTTCTTGGCAATTTGAAGTCATTTCGGTCGGCTTCTCGCATCGAGTCACGTCGCATTTCCACGGAACCGAACAACGGAACTGACTAACTTACCTTCTGCCTAGTAAGTTACCTAGTAGTCACCAAGATCAATCAAGCCATTGGTGACTATCTGGGAACCCCCCGGCCCTGAGTCCTTCTCTCCCATCAGACTCTCTGGTGCACAACACACCAATCAATCCCTGGCATCGATCATTCCATGGTTCAGAGCATCGGAGGCAGGTAGCACCGTGACTGGTCATTACCCCGGGGAGGAAAAAGCCACCGTTTGGATGGATGCTCGAGCCTCTTCCTCGCTATTAGGTAGCTTGGTTGCGCTGGCCCGCGGCGGGTTTGCCTCTTGCCTTTTGAGTCCTGTAGGGCCGAACGGTTGGGTTGGGCATGATCCGGCTCGAAAGAACGCCAACGGGAAAATGACCAATTGCAGCTGGGGTTGAGGAGAAGAGACATCGTCCCCGTGACTTGCTCCACGCGAACAGTCTCCGTCGGTCCTAGTCTAACCTGGCTCTTCTTGCGCTTGTCATGCGCATACTAATTTCAATCCTCCCATCCCGAACTTTCTCCATAATACTCATTACTCCACACCCGTACAGGTCTTAACCTCTGTCACATCGTATTTCTTTATTCGTGTCTCAAGCGAGACTGCTCCCTTCTGTCTAGCATGTCCCCGTCAACCCCATGACCTAGACAAGCTTGCGCCAATCGATATGGCTTTTCCATAAGCTCCCTCGTCCTGCAAGTGGCCGCTGACCCACAACCACGCGACCCCCCTTGCGTGCATCCTGGTCCCGTTGGCAATAGACTAGGTGGGATTGTGTGGCTTCTGGCGGGGGGGTTCGTTCTTGGACGGACAGCAGACTCGGCACTTGGTGTCGGATATCATGCTCCATAGAGAGCAAAGTAGAAGTCTTGGCTAAGACAATTGAGTAAAGCCTGTTTGTGAGGGTTTCGGCCACCATCTCCACACTTTCCAGCTTGGTGTTCCGTTCCAATCCCACGAACCTGGAACATTTCTTGGGATCTGGATACCGAGTTGTGACTGGAAAGACTGCTCTTTTACATGCCGATCATGTGAGTAGGCATTGAGATTCACCATTACCCACCCCGTGGCTGCCTCTCTGAAACCGCGTCGTATTGGCTTTACCTGGCTCATGGGGTGGGAACAGGGGAAAGGTACTGACTCGTGTAAGCAGTCCTGTATCTATGGACCGTGATGCACGGGCTGTCACAACGGCATGCCATTTCCCGAATCCTAGACCAGAACCTCGAGATTGCGGATCCCGACGTGATGCCGAGAGAGACCGCTGCTCATTTTGCTGCCGATTAAGTAATCGGAATCTGGTGTTGCCAACCTGAGGACCCGCTCTTGCACGCGTTGTGTCGATTGATTCCCAGTTCACTAGAGGATCAGAGAAAGAGTGGGTCGGGTCGTGTGCGTAATCCTTGACTTTGTAATGTCAATGCACGGACCTTCAAAGATACCTTGGAGGTCTGCCCATTCCTCGGGGAGATGTATCGTATGGAGCTGGCCAATACCAGTTTCAGGGCACAACTGATCTGTCGGGAAGGACTCCAGCCTGGACCAAAAGAGGAGCGCACGGCCACCCGGCCATGGGTTGAGTAAGATCATGCAGATACCGCTCTACCTCCTCATCATTCTTGAGAGTCGAACGTCCCGTGATCCTTGTCAACTGTTCGCTCAGCTGGTCTTCAAGAAGCTGCTGGTCCGACAAATCTTTCGGAGTGGTGGCCAGCTCGGCCCGGATTCGAGCTCGCAGATCGCCCTCCAGCATCTTTTCGGCTAGATGGGCGTGAAACGCTGAGCTATACGGCCCCTCGCAGTGCGGCCAAGCATGAAGCGCCATGATCGCTCGCCAACGGTCACGGAAGTCCGGCGATAAGACGGCTACCAAGAATAAGGGCGAGATAATCCCGTTGTCGAACATGATCGCCGGCCGTTGGGGGCCAAATTTTGCGATGATCGCTTCGGATGTCGTAAGAATTTGTTGGCATTCAGAAGCAATGCTCGCGATGTATGCAGGTCCAGGGAGCGCGAAGGTCGTACGCAGACCCAAACAGAGCCAATGGAGATTGACCTTTAGTATGTCGGCCCCGACCTGGCCCCTGAGTCCAAGGGAGGCGTAATGTCGGAGACGAAAGTCCCGCATGGCCCGCTGAGCCTGATCCACCAGCGAGAGGAGTATCAACTGCTCGCGGTACAACGAGGCATAGAGAACGGGATCGTGCTCTTTATCAGACGGCCAGGCCCGCCTCATGTACGCATGCGTCAGTGTCGTGAGGGGATCAAGTGCCCTGCGTCCTTCGGCAACGCTCCGGATTGTTTGCCACTGTGCTGCAGTCGAATCCAATCGAGCCTCTTCCCGAATCTCAAGCAACGGTGCCTCGCAGCCGAATTGTGTTGAATGTATGTCGAGATGTCGCAAAGCAGTGACGATGTGCCAATCGACGGGCGATCCCTGTCGGTTTCGAAACACCGGCTTACCCTGGCGATGAAGCTCATTCAGAATGCGCAGGCCGCCCTGCAGGTGCAGGAAGGCTGTGTCGAACTCCCTCCACACCAAATCCAACATGACAAAGAGGATACAGCAAAGCAGTACCACCTGCGGCAACAGTGGGTCCTGGGGGTTCCGTTGCCTGAGCAGGGCAAACGCGCGCGCCGCCTGATCGGAAGCGAACAGGTTCCACGGACTCTGCTGTTTCTGCGGGCGCAGCCCCATGCCGGTGATCTGACACTCCTGGTGAGCAGCCGCCAGCGCCATCGTAGCGTGACAGACCGCCGGGTCCAGCTGGGCCATCTGCAGCACTAACTGGTGCCACAACGGGGAATCAAATGCCCCCAGAATATCCGGGATCGTGCGTCTTTGGAAGAATGCGAAACAGCGTCGTTCATCGGCTGTGGTGATGCAGCGGATCTTGGTTGTGACCGTCAACGGCAGCTGGGGAGATAGTACCCGCTGCCGTTGAGCGTTGTTTGGGCGAGGTAATGGGGAGGGGTCGTAGCCCTCGCATGTTCTTCCTGTGGAGGTGCAGTTGTAGCAATGGCCAGGGGTCTCGTCGCATTTGACCCGACGTGCGCTTGTCATCCAATTAGTTTTGATCCGATCATAAATGATGCTCACAACGGCCGCTAGCGAGGAGGACCCTTACCGGCAGGTTCGACAGCCCGTGCGCGACCGTGTGCCGCCTGACCGACGTCGCTTGTAAGAAAAAATAGCTTGGGCTTCGCTGCTATCGAGATGATACATTTCTTGTCACTTGTGAAAGATGGGGGAGAGGGACGAAGGATCACAACGGACCGGTCCGTTCAACAAAAACGTGGATGGAGACTCGGTTAAGTTGCGTGTCGGTCCTGACCCCTCAGGAGAGTGGATGTGAGCCGGTCGCAACTGTTGGAACACTATCGCGTTAGGTTGGCGATAATTCGTCCTCGGGCCCCATTTCTACTACTCCGTAGTACATACTAGTACTCATGTAGTTGGTGGATCTTCATCTTTTCGGACATTCAACCACTCGGAATCCATTTCCAACAAGAGCCGCGGCAAGTCATTTGTCAAGCCACGCTTGGCATTCTTTCCTCGTTGATGTTGACCTGATGAATGCCTCGCATCGAAGTCCATCTTGGCCCCTGGCCTTCGCAGTGGCATGAGGGGTGGGGTTACCCACCCAGGTGTAGTAATGTACTTGTAGTAAACATGGTGAGTTAACAAGAAGAGATTTAAGAGGAGAGAGAGATAATGCTGATGGAAAGAGCAATCGGGGGACTGAGAAGGGAGCGGCAGCTGAGGCCGCCTCGGCTGACTAATATCTCACTGAAAGTCGGTTCTCTGGTTAGGGAGCTGTCAATGTACTCGGTAAGTTAAATTGCAGTAGTGAGTATTGTTTCAGAATGTCCTCCGTGAGGGCTTGTCTATATCTTCTCCTAGATATATGAACTCCCTAAGCAGATTTGCTGATATACAAACCTCCGCGCCCTACAGGTCTCTCCCCAAAAGTACCCACGAAACTCCGAACTACCTACCAGTGCCCGATGACCATCTCCCAAGCATGAGCGCAAACCCACAAACGCCGTACTAATACATACAATGAAACTGATCAGGCTCGCAACGCCTCTCACAAGCAAGTGCTCTAGACCATACAAGCATGCATTGCTCCTAGGCTCAAGTCAATCTTTATCATCATTCAGCAGGACCTTCAACTTCTCCAACTTGTCCTCGCACTTCACCTCCAGCCCCATGACCACATCCATACTTTCCTTCCTGGTGATGAGCAGGTGACACACCAGCCAGAAGTTATAACCGTTCTTGTAGAACCCCATGGAAGCCCATTCGTGGTTGGATACGGCACTTTGCAGCGTGAGCCAGTGTTCGCGCCAGCGGGCTAACGCGACGCGAATAGAACCCAGCACGGAATTCTCCGGTGCAATCTGTGACCGGAATTTGTCGGGTGATGCAGGATCTGAAAGCTGGGTGGGTTGGGGTGGGGACTGGATTTGGGGCTGGTTGGAACGGGTGACGGAGGCAAGAGTCATATAGGTATCTATGAAGGCGTAAAGGACTATGATATGATCAGCAGTTGAAGCAATGTCGAGTGTAGTAGTGTTTATGACGTACGGTGGATGAGAATGAACATGTCAAGGATATTCATGTTTGGAAGTATCCCACTAGAATTCGTCGAAGAATCTGGAGAGAGTGGAAATGACATGTTTGGGGCGTTCGATCCGTCGAACAGGCTCTGAAATGCTTCTTTGATGGTAAAGCCTCGAGAAGAATGGAATCCGATGTTTGTGTATGGATGTTCTAGATTGAAAAGTGCCTCTTGGCAGGGAAAATCACAATCCATTTCCACATGCGACAGGCGACACGGGTAGTTCTGGAAGAAGCAGAAGGCACAGTCGAGAAGAGAGATAATGGAAATAGTTCTATCAGGATTAGCAAGTAGTTGCGATTTAGCATTTTTCGTGAGGCAATTACCGAATGCGACACTCTGTCTGGATCCATTGCTGCTCTGAAGTAACGTCGGGGTGTTGGTGGCGACACTTGGTAAGGTTCATTCGACGAGCGACCTTCTCGGTGAGTTAGTAGCCTATTCCCCACGCGATATGCCGGTAAATAAACATACCTTTGTGATTTCACTAAACCGGTTCTCCATGGCTCGATTGTGCGACATGCGAGAGCCTGACCAGTATTGCACAATACATATTATGAAACCGGCTTGGAAGTTCAAAAACTGGACCCAATCGTCACCCTCATGAGGGAAGTTGGTCTTTCCCTTGCAAAACATGGAAGCGATATCGCTTTCTGGAGAGAAAACCTCGGTTGAGAAAATGTAAAGCTCCACGAAGTCCAACAATTGCTTGGCAGCATATGTTTCCTGTTCATCGTTCGAATACATGGCACCCATGAATACCAATCCTGCCAGCAAAGGCAACGGAACGGTATTCAATTGCAGCGAGGCAAGGTGAACCATGGCGCAACTCGGATGCCAGTATCTGGCATACATCCAGACAAACTTCTGGATGCGCGCTGTCGTCAACAAAAAGCTAGCATTAGCGGCCAATCGCTGCTTCGCGTTAGCATCCAGGGGAACAGCCCAGGCTCGCGATAAAATCGCTTGCGAGAGTGCAGCAGCATAGGGCTGCTCCGGTACATAGGGCTGTTCACTGGGATGCGTCACGCTAGATTGGCCTGGCGGGAGACCCGCGCTAAACTCAGACCCTGTACTATACTGAGACGTGCCCATGAACTTCGGTGGGCCCTCGAACGGACCGTTGAAGAAATCAAGAAAGTTGTCGTGGAAAAAGGAGCGTGCCGTGGGATCGGCTTCAATGAATGCCGGGGCGATATCCAACTGATCGAGTCCCATCTGATAGTCCAGCATTGTAGACCTTGCTTCCTTTAACCCCATCTGAGTATGATATTTCATACCCCGGCTGCGGTCGCTGCAAGGAGGGAGCCGAAACTCTTCGGTAAAGCTGTCGGAGCCACCATTCAAGAGAAAGCTGATCGAACCGCGATCGGAGGTACCAACGTAGTCCCCGCGATTGTTCGATTTTACGCCTGTGTCTAGCTCAATACCATTGGTCTGCTTTTTACGCTCATTGTTGCATGGAAGATTTCTTTTCTGGCAGGAACCACAAGGGCTTTGCCCGTCGCATCGCAGCTTCATTGACGTGCACTAAGGCGAGAGAGAACTTGAATTAGAAACCATGCGCTGACGCTCCAGAAGCAGACGGCAGGAAAGGTAAGGAAGAAAGAAGTGACTTGCCGACTGGCAGGCATGTCGTCGCCTGCCCCTCTGCCCCGTTTCCGGGATCTTCTGGTCTCCGCGCTTGTCGCAATCCGTGTAGTGGTCGCGGAGGTTGTCACTATAGAAGGACGCGTGGCCATCAGCAACAAAGCACGCGGAACTCGTAAGGCGCGGGGTATGAGGGACTGAATTGATTACAGCGCCCCGGGACATACGCACCAACGCGCGAACGACTCATTGCAGAAAATGCATGAGTAAGGCTTGACACCGGAGTCTATCCGAAACCCGAGAGTTCGTCCAGAATCAGTGAGCTGTGGTGGAAGAGAACCGGCCCAGAGACAAGCAATGACCGGGGTGTGGTGGGAACAAGGGAGTGATTGGACTTACGTCGGAGGTGATGGCGTTTGAGATGGTCAATGCGCGTGAAACCTCGCTGACAGATGGTACAACAGAAATGCTTGCTTGAAGCAGACTTCATGGTAAGTAACTGGTGCGCATCGGGGAGAAATGGAAGGATTTGAGCCTGTGGAGGGGGAGATGGGGTAAACGGAGGTGGAAATATGGGGTAAAGGAGGGGGATCGGGGCAAAGGGCAGATCGGGAGCGGGCGGTGGAAACTCGGACGGAGCTGGTGGTGATGATGCCAGCAGTGGAGACGTGCCGGTAAAAGCGCGCAACAAGCCCGGTCGATCGAACCGGGAACGACACGTCTGAGTGGTAGTCTAAAGAGAGTGGAGAGGATTGGGAGGAGGATGGATGAATGAATGAATGTCTAGACTGAACAAGGTATTGAGACAGATGCAGTCATCCTGAAACAACCACAGTACGATGGAAAGAGAAGAACAAGAGCGAGATGGATGGATCTTTAAAAAGAAAGAGTCTTGGTCGACAGACAAAATGGACTCCGGACACTGGACTCTGAAGCGATTGATTGATTGATTGATTGATTGACTAGATGGTGGTGGAGTAGTGTGTGTATTTCTTTCGTTTCTGCAGTTCTGCAGCTTCAGGCTCCAGGCTCCAGGCTCATGGCTCATGGCTGCCGGCTCAGAGCTGTCAGTGGTTGGAGCTGGAGGGGGCTGCATTTCTTCACTGCACCAGTTCCAATTCCTTCCCGCGCTCGATAAAGTCGCTGGTTCGCCTGCACACGCTAGACCGGTTTGGTTCGCAGTCCCGCCCACACCACCTACTGACTGCACTGACTACATTTTATCCGTACACCCCCACAATTTTCTTCCACTCGAGCTGGGAAAACCGGACAATGAGACCGACAATTAAGCCTCGACGTTTACGCAGGGAAACTTTATTTCTCTCTTCTCTTCTCTTTGCATTACTATTCACCTCCCCCACCTTCAAAATCCAGGCTCCCAATCTCACCTCCCACAAGTGACGTCCCATTTACACTACCAACCTTGGTAACCAATTCAACTCTACTACTCTGTAAAAGCAGGACTGCCCGTTGTTGTACCTCTGGCGACTTGCTTGGTCGAAACGCCACCAAAGTCTAACCCACCCTCGGCCGCCGTTGCTCCCCCCAGCTCTCGAACTCACGCTAAACACTGTACAACATGCTCGAATCATCCGGTAGGCTGGAGATCTCTGGTTAATAACTACAGACGGATCTTAATTGTGAACAGGAAGCTAGAATGTCATCATAGGTTATCAGATTTCCATAGAAAGGAAAAACAAAACAGCAGAGTTGCACGGGTACAGAGACCAGCCACTGCCGAAGTCAAACACCCCCCCCCCTTTCCCTTCCTCTGATTATTGTTGATTGCCTATCACACAGGCAACTGGAGGGAAGTCCATCTGGTCGTCGTCGAGATAGTCGACATTGATAACCTTGTTCTTCTCATTCATGGTCCACCCGTCGCCAATCCAGCCATTTGGGTTGTTGTCGACATAGTCATACGTGTAATCCTCCCAGCGTGGGTGCGCGAGCGTCTTCAGAGCATGGAGCGACGAACCTGAAACGGTAAGAAAATGCGCACGAATCACAAACTCCGGAAAAAAGTAAAGGGGGAATCTACGTACCAGGCCACAGTGCCGTCACTCGTCCATTCTCTCGCCCTCCTTTGTACCAGCTGCGGCAGCTCGAACTAAACACGGTGCGTGAGAAGTACTGGTCGCAGTGCCGACTAAATTGCTCCACGGCTTCTTTCCGGACACACATTGCGCGGATGTTGTCACGTTGCATCTTCTGTACACAGCACGTCAAGTAATCGATCTCTCTCTCTATCAGAAGCAGCAGGTTTCCCTCGCCCAGGGCCGCATTCGGGCCGAGACAGACAAAGTAATTAGGGAACCCGTCAACTGCTAAAGACAGGTAAGTCTCGGGCGTCTTCTCCCAACGCTGGGACAAGGACAATCCGTTGCGCCCAATGATGGGGAACCGGGGTGTGAACGTGGTATCGAACCCCGTGGCACATACTAAAACATCGGTGGGATGATGCACACCGTCTGCTGTGATGATACCATTCGAGTCCACCTTAACAATATCGCTTGAAATGACGTCAACCTTGTCATCTGTCAAGGCCTCCAGATAGCCAGGACCTGGGGTCAGACGGCGGCAGGCGGGAGGGAATGAGGGAAGAAGGTTCTCAAGGAGTTCCGGTTTACGTTGCAAGCGTCGTTTCATATTCTGTGTGAAGACACTTTCAGAGCCTAGCTGCTCAGGGGTTCCCAAAAGGGTTGCACCATGGATAGACTGCAGCTCAAGCTCGATCTCTGATGTCGTAAGCAGCTGCCGAGGTAAAAGGTAGTTTGGAATCATTACCTTTGCGAAACTTCTGGTAGGCGTTGTGGTCCGTCTTGAATGCTGCAATATCCTCTGTAGAGAAGGAAACTATGATTGACAGGTCAACCAGGGAATCCTCTCTCAAAGCTAAGCAAGCTTACAGTTTTCGAGTTCAGTGCCACGCTTGTCGATCTGATTTCGGGCGAAGGTAGGTGCCAGCCAAGTGCGACCTCTGATATAATGGTCAATATGCGCCACTTTCGGCAGCATGCCGGGAACGATCTGAATGCCACTCGATCCGTTTCCAATCACGGCCACTTTCTGGTTCTGTCGGACGTCAGCCACCATTTCTCTTGGTCATCAGAAAACTGGGTTCGACTCACGCTATAGTCATAGGACTCGTCCCAATTAGCACTATGCATCAGTTTCCCCTTAAAGTCACGGAGGCCCGGAATACTCGGCCACTTCCAATCGTTCAATGCCCCCGTAGCCGACATGAGCACATCACATTGATCTTGGTAGGTCGACCCACTAACAAGGTCTTTAACCTGTAGAATCCATTTGCTTGTGGCATCGTTCCACAAGGCCTCAATGACTTGCGTTTCAAACTTGATATGCTCCATACACCCATATTTTTCAGCCACCCGCTTCCAATAGCTGTGAATCTCGGGGGCTGCGGCATAGAAGGCAGACCATTCCTTGTTGGGTTCAAAGGTAGCCTGGTATGTGTGAGCTGGAATATCTGCAAGGTCAGTGTGTTAGAAGATTGCATCCCAGTGTATCCAAGTCTCCAACCATGAAATGGCAGGGGTACTTGCCACATGCACAACCCGGATATCTGTTCTCAAGCCAAGTGCCACCGATATCCGTATTCTTCTCGTAGATGCAGAGATCCAGATTCTGAATCCGTTGTCGAAGTCGGATCGAAGAGATAATGCCCGAAATTCCTGACCCAATTACGATGACTCTCAGCGAGCGGTGCTCATCAACAGCCCGCTCTTGGACAATCCACTCATTGGCTGGAGGCGCCGCAGCACTATTGTGGGAGGTGAATCCAAATAGTTGCGACCATCGTTGTAACATGGCGGATATCGAGACTAATTGACCGTGTGCAAAACGGAGTTATTCTGCGAGGAGTCTAAGTGGAAAGCACTGAGCTTGGACTATGCCTATTTATTGCCCCAGTCTTAAGACGAACGGTCGCTTCAAGCGAAGCGGAGCTACTCTTCCTTGTTCGGGCCTCGGGGAGGGGTTTTCGTCTCCACGAGAGCTAAAATAGGTGATAAACCCCCTCCTTTTCTCCTAGGGTGGTAACACGGACGTTATCGCAGATTGTTTGCGTTACACCGTTGACGCAAAGATATTAGCCCCGACTGGGAAGGAGCGAGATAGGCGGAGCTATACCCACTCAGCTCACGGGGATTCCCCCCCCCTCCCTTCCCAGCATCTGTTAGCTTCGTCGAAGACAGTCGACGGCCTGTCAGTTGGGACCGGGGGGCATGAGATTTAGCACCTATAGGTAGGTCTCTGAATGGGTGGGTAAAACCGGACTTCCCCCGGTCTCTCGCTTCGTGCAATGGAAATCACGATGTTCAACCGGTAAGACCCACCTCCCGTCCCCCCGCCAAAGATAACCGAGCTTCACATTCGGACGGTGGGGGATGGGGACTGGCTTGCGAGACAGACAAATGAGGGCGCTGGTTGGTAATCATACTATGTAGAACAGTTGACAGGGATCCCCGCACACGGAGTCCATTATCGTGGTTATCTGTCAAACCAATCATTCTGCCTCGTTCTGAACGGATGACAAGATAGTGGGCATAATATGTGGAAGAGGCGGCTTGCCGACAAGTTAGCTTCCTTCGCAGACTGAGAAAATAGTGACCGTGGTAAATACCTTCTCCTTTGAGTTCTAGTCCACATCAAAAGCTTGAGTAGTTGAGAGACTGTCCCCTCATGACAATCTTCTCAGCATTAGGGCATTGGTCACAATTCAGCCGGTTCACGATGTGGGGATCTGTACAGTTGCGCTTCTCGGGCGATGACGGATCCGACAGATGCTAAGTAGAGTCTGGAATCTACCTCGGGAAACCCCCGACATATGGTAGAGAAGCAATTAATTGGGTCTGAAGATGCACTGTCCAGCATGGAATGGGGGATTCCCGACAGTATATCCAGCACGGGGGGACGATCGGCTGTCTAGATCAGCCTGATCGTCTACCTTCGCTACCCGTATTTCCGTAAAGCCGTCTGCCTTCCAGGACCAAGCATTATTGATCGTATCAGAGGGCATCCGTTGTGCCGGCCAAGCTTACCCCGTAATTTTTCTCAACATCCCCAGGTTTTCCCCGCCGGCATCTCTCTCGGGGCTAGGCGGCTCGGAGAAAGCGGCGGCAACGATGGTACCAAATTTGTTCTAGTTGTTGTTGTTTTGTGACATGGACGAAGATCTGCCCTTAGAAAGATGGAAGTATACTCTGGCGTATAGTGTATTGAGTTGATACCTTACGGCGCTTGTGACGCGTTCCCGGTTTGCAGTACACGAATACCGGTATGTATGTACACCATACGTGTCATTGAATGTCCATACCCTGAATTGTCAGTAAGTAATTCCGCATGGTTGGAACTCAGTAAGCATTGAGTAATCCAGCAACCGATCTCAGGCTAACTGCCCGGAACGTAAACTGCATCGATGCCAGGAATGCATCTCATTGGGCCGGTTGCCGACCTCAAAGTCTTGCGTCCAGACAATGGAACAGTTTGCCGATGTCAATCATTGATTATTGAGACTCCGGTGTTGAGAAAGAGCATCTCTGTGAACATGACGATCAATTGTGACGTTCTGAAAGCCATGAAAATGACAGGAGATCGGGCTGTTCAGGTACCGAGGTAGACCAACTGAGCCATGTAAGGACGATCAAGGGCGGATTAGTGAGGGACAAGTAATCCTCAGTCAGCGCCCCAGAGGGCTCCATAAACCGCCCACTCGCATACCCTAATTGTGGTCCAGGCCAATCACAATTCGTTTGTGGACCTATCGATGGGGTAGGAGCTTTCTTCTTTGGGACGACGATGGGTATCCCCAGAGTGGCTTTTGTCTCCGTTCAAAAGTCTGGGTCCAGGTGGGTGCGTGGGTGCACCTTCCAAGTCAACCCATATAAAACCATCGTCAGTATCCGCGTAGACCTTTGCGAAGTAACCCAAGATCCCTATGTTCAAATCCAATTACGCATTGCACACACCTTACTCGTATTCTCCATGCCCGTCTTCACCGAATCCGCTGCCTCCACACGCGAGCTTCGCGTTCTACCCTCTTTCGCCCCACCACTCCCCCGACTCAATGCCCCCTTCTCGCACCAACAAAATCCCGATAGATATGAAGTAGTCATCGTCGGCGCTGGACCCGCCGGGCTCATGCTGAGCCTTCTGCTCGCCCGATACGGCCTCAGCGACGAGTCCCTCTTCTGCGTTGACGCCAAACCAGGCACTCTGAAATCTGGCCAGGCGGACGGGCTGCAGCCGCGCACCCTGGAGGTCCTAAAGAGCCTGGGGCTCGCGGACGAGATCCTCAACGACGGCTGCCACATGGAGGAAGTGGCCTTCTGGAACCCGTCCGCCAAGTCGGACGAGATTATCGAGCGCACCGCCATTGTGCCAGACGTTGCCGTGCCGGCGCGCTATCGCCACGAGGTCACCATCCACCAGGGTCGGATCGAGCGCATCCTCGAAACCGACCTATTACGGTATTCGTCCCGTGGGGTACAGCGGAACACCCGACTTGTTCAGGTCAAAATCGACGAGGACGGTGATGCGGAGTTTCCCGTGGTCGCCGAGCTAGAGACCAACGGCGAGCGGCGCACAGTGCGGTCAAAGTACTTGGTCGGGGCGGATGGGGCGCACTCGATGGTGCGCCGGTGTATGGGACTGCAGTTGGCCGGCGAGTCGCTGGATCACATTTGGGGTGTTGTTGACTTAGTGGTGGACACGGATTTCCCAGACATTCGGCGACGGTGTGCGATTCATTCCCCAGCGGGGTCAGTGATGGTCATCCCGCGCGAGCGGATCGCGACGGGGGATTATCTGACTCGTCTGTATGTGCAGGTCCCTGAGGAAGCGGCCTCAGAGGAGGTGGATGAGGACCAGCGGTCGGTGGACGAGGCGGCCGCGAAGGAGGATGCGCGAGCTCGCAGAAGCAAGGTGACGTTAGAAGGCATCTTTCAACACGCGGCCGATGCATTCAAGCCATATTACATCCAGCCAAAGAAGGGCGGGGCAGTGGACTGGTGGGCGGCGTATCAGATCGGTCAACGAGTCTCAGATCGGTTCACGGTCAAGGATTCCAAGGGAATCGAGCGGGTGTTCATTGTGGGAGATGGTACGTCCTCCTCTTCATCCATGGCAAACCTCAGGCTTCTCCGGCAAACTAACCAAACAACCAACTCTCCTACTCTCCAGCCTGTCATACACACAGCCCGAAGGTACGTATCACAGCCCCTACACAGAATTCTCCCTATCAACTAACAGGCAACACAAATTAGGCTGGACAAGGCATGAATGTCTCGATGATGGACTCATACAACCTCGCCTGGAAACTCGCCTACGTGATCAACGGCCTCACCCCGAACTCAACAACGAACCCTCGAAGTCCAGATCCCATCCTCGCAACCTACCACTCAGAACGCCACACCATTGCTCACCAACTCATCGAGTTCGACCGCGCCTTCTCCTCCATGTTCTCCGGCAAGATTGGCAGCACCGAAGACAGCCTCCCCGGGCTCACCCACGACCAATTCCTCGAGGTCTTCAGCACCGGCAACGGCTTCACAAGCGGTTGTGGGATCGAATATCCGGAGAGCCTGATCGTACAGCGCCAACAACAACAAACAAAACCAAACAGCACCGTAGCTGCAGCTGCTGCAGCTACAGCTACCACCCCCACAAACCCGATCCAAGGCACCGACTACCTTAGCGGGATTCTCCGCCCCGGTCGAAGACTACTAAACGTGACCTACAAGCGTCACGCAGATGGGAACAGACGAGACCTGCATGACGGTGAGTGATTTCTTCAAAGCCCTCACTCCTCATGACACAACACACCAACCATATAACGCCCACGCCTAACACATCCTCCTCCCCTCGGTGCCAAACCTCATATCCCCTCAAAACTAACCCAAACCCAGACTTCCTTTCCACCGGCCGCTTCCGCCTCCTCGTCCTAACTTCCACCGACCTTCTCAACCCCACGAGCACTTCCGCACAGACCCTGCGCGTCCTGGGCACCCGGGTTCTCCCCAAGTACCCGGCTTCCGCGATTGAGCAGGTCGTCATCCACCCGCGCCTGTCCCGGGACTTCACGTGGCGGGATACGCCCGCGGAGCTGAAGCAGCACTCCGAAATGCGGTTCTACAGTGGCTATGAGATGGATGATGTGTATACCATCTACGGGGTGGATCCGGCGCATGGGGCGGTGGCTGTCGTTCGGCCGGATGGGTACGTCGGGGTCGTGGCTACACTGGGGGATGTGGCACGGGTGGATGCGTTCTTGGAAGAGTGCTTGGTACGAGTTTAGTGTGGGAATTGGGTCATGCATAGTCCTGAAGGTGCATGTACAGAGAACCTTATGCTTCGGTGGTCAGAGATTGGATTTATAGCATTCATTCAGCATACAGCTTTCTTGCTCTTCTAGCTATCAAACGGGCTCAATATGTACAGTTCCTCGAACAAACTCGGGTCATCTAGCTCGAAGTCGCCGTGCAGTTGACGCTCAAGTCCGAGGTATCCACCTAATCCAGCATGAGCGACAAGATCGAACCAGGCATAACTCGGGGGGACAATCAACTTACGTTGTCGCAGACAAAGTCGTTGGTGCCCTTGGGGCTGACGACGTTGATATTGTCGGTGTAGATGTTCGAGCACACCTATCGCGACATCTGTCAGCTTTTTGCGTTCTTCTGCCTTGCCTACTACAGATCCAGAAACTCACCTCGGGGCTCGAGCAAACCAGGGTTCCGACATAAGGATTCTCCTTTCCAGAGGTCTTGCCGCGGAAGTTCTTGAACCAGACGTCGGAGATGGTGAGACTGCTCTGTTGGTTTGTCATGACACATTAGAATTCGAACGCCTCCAGCCATGATTTCCTTGGGGTCTGGTATACGCACCGGATATTCGTTGCACAGAGTCAGGTTTTTCTGTCCGTAGCATTGGGTCACTTCGATCGCCCAGTCGACGTTGTCGATGTAGGCGGTGTCATAGGTGACATTCTGCACGCGACCGCTGCCACCGCCACCCTGGAGGTCCTCGGAGAGAGCGGACGAGACACCGGGCCAGACCTTGATGCGAGCCATGTCCTGTACACGGGTCAATACTGGTGCCGAAGTGGCTCAAGTGGGTGCGTTATGTATGAGCCTTCACTTACCGAGGCATTGTACATGGAGATGTTGTACACGAGAATGTCCTGTACAATGTCCACTTCGCCCAGGTATTGTCCGAGAGAGCCCACGGAGATACCGTGCGAGCCGTTGCAGTGGAGGTTTTGCACCAGGATGTCAGTGCTGTTCGGTTTGAAGGAAACGCAGTCTACCAATCCAGACTTTGTTAGAGGTTGTGCGCTACTGATTGGTTTCGCGGGGGTTTGAAGACGTACCATCGCCATTGTTGATCACAGAGTTTTGGATCACGATGTTCGAGGATCGGTAAGTGTCCCTAGCAAAAACAAGCGTTAGCCGACACCCTCTACTGCAGAACAAAGAAGAGCAACGTACCATCCATCCGTGTTCTTAGCAGTCACGGACGGGTTCTTGGAATATCCAGAAATGTTGATGCCATCATAGAGAACATTTGTCGAGTTGGCGATGAGGTTGTACCATTGTGGGGAGTAGCGCAGGTTCAGCGGGCCAATGGTACCCCCATTCAGACCAATAATGCCAAACAGAATAGGGCGGAGGATAAGAGCGTCCTCTGCGTACAGATCGTACCAGACTTGGCCATTACCGTCCAGAGTGCCGCCTCCATAAACGTTCACGTCCTCACCACCGAGCTGGAAGAAGGTCGTTGCATTCTGGAAGACCTGTTGGAAAGCATTCGCTTGCCAGTAATCGGTGTCGTTGGTGAACTGGATGGTTCCCTCGATATCTGTTGAGCAGGTCAGGGTTAGTCACCATGACATGGACTTAATACAGAAGGAAAAGAAGGAAGGTAAAAATAAGAACGATCAACATCGACTCACCAAGATCAATGTGCTTCAGGAAAGTGAGATCCAATGCCGTGCCGATGATGTATTCCTTGTCGGCGTCGAAGACAACCTTTCCTCCATTGTTGCATTGCTTGATGGCAGAAAGAATATACGCCGAATCGTCGGATCCGTCCCCATGAGTGCGAACATGGCAAGTCTTGCTTCTAGACTTGCTCGTGGGCAGAGGCTGGAAGGGCTTGTGAGGCCCGCAGGCTTGGTTTCGGTCGCGGTTGAAGCCTTCGACTGTCGCGCCCAGCGCAAGAAGGCCGAGCGCTTGGCTAAGAAGATGCGAGGTTCTCATTTTTGAACTGACAGCTCAGGGGAGTAATAATCGGGAGAGGTAAAGGGAATAGTCTTGAACGAGAACCTGGCCGCTGTGCGAAATCATTCTCCGCCCTCATTGTATTTATATATTCCCAAATTCTCCCCGGGCGTGCACAGGCCCGTTGCATCACCGGCTCTCTCAAGGCGGGGAAGCGTCTCCCTGGGCATGAATGTATCCGGGGAAATGAAACAAGCCGATGCGGAGAGTATGGAGAAAGCGTGGAGCAACAGCCAAGCTCATGATGGCAGTTATAGTGGCCGGGCGATGTGATAGGAGGGCTAACTCCCGCTGCGATTGTCCGATTGGGGGAAAAATGGCACCAGCAGGAGATTGATGCGTCCTCGGTAGCCCTTGATTGTGCTGTTCCCCCTGCAGCATGGCTGGTCGGGTTTGTTCTCTTCCATATTATCATTCATAGCAAGTGGCCGCGGTGGCTTGCGCTGGCCCGCTATCCCCGGGATTTCTGACGATGTTTGGCTCTAAGGACCTGGGGTTGGTACTCGAACCGGTACTGGCGCCTTTCTGTGGCTCTTAATTTGGATTGACTTGAGCATTGAATGACGAGGACTTCCGCAGTATGTGATAAGAATAAGCTGGTGGAGATGAGCAGACGAAGGTGTGGAGGGGAGGGAAATGAAAAGTGGAGGAGAGCAAAACATATGACCTCCACTCTGGTGACCAGCTTCATTACCTCTCCATTCCCCATCTTTGGAGATAGCTTTGCGGTTACTTCAGACCGCTACATTGTCTCAAGCCAGACATCATTGGGCTGTTCGCCGGCGCAGACACAGAAGCAACAACACATAATCGAGTCACATTTTCCTTCTTCCCCTACGCAACGGTGCGCCGTCGGCTGAGGCCCATATAGAACTATTTAAATGGCTTGTGGAAATCGCCCTTCAGCTTCAAATCTTTCATTCTAGTCAATGGAAATATATACAAGCGCAAAATGGTAAAAAAAAAGAAGAAAAAAAAAGTCCTAGCGGGATTCCTCCGCGCATCCACGGTCGCTGCTCCTTAGGCCATCCGAGTGGTACACCGACAATCCCATTCCGAAGAGATGAAAGGAATCTAATCTAATTTTCACGGAGTGTCCAGCTTACATGATCAAACCCCCTTCTCGGTCGCCCAAAAAGGGACGTTTAAGCCGACTTCTTGACAGCGGCTTCGGTGGTAGCAGCAACAGCCTTGGCATCATCAACCACCTCCTTCTCCAGATCCTTCACAGCCTCCGTGGTAGAGCCATCCAAGCTACGGCGGTACTGAACGATACGGGTGACCTGGACGACACCGACGATGCCAAGGAAGAAGTTGACAGCAGCAAGCCTGGACATCCGATTAGTCAGTCTATTGACTACTACATCGCAGAAAGTAATTGTCGATTGAAGAGGTAGACATACAGGTAGTTCTTGGGAGTGATGATCATACACCAGCGAGTCCAGATAGCCCCGGTGGCCATCAGAGCACCGTTCTGGGTCAGGGACAGCTTCTCGGCGGGACGGCTAAGATCGGAAATGCCGGCAATGACGAGTGCCCACTGGGGCGGACAGAGTCAGTGATGAACGATCGTAGATCTCAAGTACAACAGTAGGCGACGCCGATGAGGGGTGGGAATTTCTCGTCGTCATATGAGGACTCATACCTTCATAACCGGGGCCCTAGCGAGCATCTTATGTTAGCTTGGTTCTTGACCTCCCATATCAATTGCACCCCACGAATAGTGCCAGTCAAGTCCCTCAAAGGCTGCAAGCTCACCAGAAATGCACCGTCTTCACACCGACCGGGCTGTTCCATAGGCGCTGGAAAGTGCTCTGTTGCTCGGCCGCGGCGGCATCTGAGCTCTGGAACCGGAAACCCTGGGCGCCAGGCCGACGAAAGGGGCCATATGCATTGCGGAAAGCAGCGCGAGAGTTTTGGAAAAAGCGTAGACCGACACGAGACGACATTGTGAAGGGGTTTGATATGAATTTAGACCGAGCGCGGCGGGCCAAGGTGTGTGTTATGGGAGAGTTCGGAAGGGTGAGAGCGGAGAGTGTCGGGCGGGACCCAGGTACAAGAGAGTGGAGAGAGGGAAGCGACGCAAGGAGAAGAAGAAGAAACCCTCTTGGTAGCAACGACCACAGGTAGAGCGAAGGGTCAGGAAATTCGAGATTGTAGGTAAAGATAGACTAAAGGTAGTCGAGATGAAGCGATCCGTCAAAAGGCCCCGACGTCGGCCTCACTCTGTTGGGGTTGCGGCTCTTTTCCGGCTGAGGTAAGCGGTGACAATCACGCTTGACTGGATTGGTTCTGCCGGGGTCCCTCTCAGAACCTCACTCAGTGGGAATCAGTTTGTCGGTAACTCCTCGATCAGAGCTCCCAGCACGCATTGTCAGTTTTTATCCCCGCCGTCTTCAATTGCAACTCTCCGAGTCATCCAGAGTCAATACTAACGGGTGCCCAGTTTGTCTGACGGTCTTTCCCGCGTGTTCCCGACCCATCCCGCCCTTTGCGATCCGTCACCACTTCACAATGTCCTCCAAGTACGCTTTCACTAAGGGTCTGAAGGAGCTGCGCTTCCTTTTCTGCCAGACCTCTCAGGAAAGCGCCGCTACCCGGTTAGTCGACTCTCGCGCGATATTTAGGATGTGTCGTTCGAGTTCAATTGCTGACGGACCTGGATTGTTTGTCTTAGATCGTTCCTGCAGCGCGCCTATCCCACCATGAAGAAGCACAACCCCTCCACTCCTATCCTGATGCGCGAGGCAGCTGGTACTGTGCCCAGAGTGTACGCTAGATACGGTATGGCCCGACGATCACTTATTGTGGACACCCTGCTCGCAGACTTGAGCTAATTAGCATATGCAGAGCTCGGAAGAGAGAAGCAGGAAGCCTTGACCGGTAAGACCTTTCGAGATCGGCCTTGACTCGCAACTGTGATAACTGACGGAAACTGCTGCAACACAGGCTTGACGGACCAGCAGGTCGAAGAGAAGATTACCCAGTTGGTGAAGGCGTCTTCATAATCAGTCCTATTTATTGCGCCCATATATCTTCATGCAACCTTGTTTCTGCCCTCTTCCTCTGCGCTGTACCTATAGATGAATCTGAAGACCCAATTCTCGCCACGAAACGCCGGAAAAATTGCCGAACCTTTTAAAATTTGCAACTCTATTGAGTTTACCTGGTTTATCAACACAGACTACAGCGAACTAGTATTGTTGGCGATCTCGCCGAATCTATATTGCGCCCAGCTCATACTTCCTTCCTTCAGGGTCCACAAGCGCCTCCCCTTGTCGTCTCCGGCAGCACCAGCTCCAATATGAATGGGGAGCAAATGGTCAAAGGTCGGGTGCGCCTTGCGGGCATCGGGCCGCTTCAGCAGGTCCACCAAGGCCTGCTCCCTCTCCGCCGGCTTGGCGGTGGCCGCATCCTTCAGAGCCTCGTCGAAGCTGGCGGTATACGGCAGCGGCCGCGGGTCGCCAAAGGAGAACTGCAGGTCACGCAAATTGTGAACTGCCATCCCGGAAACAATGATCAGGATGTTCTCCTCACGAAGCTTCGACACCGCCTGGCCAAGTCGGTAATGCTGAACGGGGTCTTCCGTGTCGAACAGCGAGACTTGCACAATAGGGACATTTAACGGGTTCTTCTCGGGCTCAAAGGCTATGAACGGCACGATGTTAGCAGGCCTCTGTCCCTCCCCGCCCCCCTCCCTGACCTCCAACTTCATCAGAGAAGAGGCAACTTACCACACTTGAAGCTCGCCCAAACGCCATGATCCAGCCCCCTCTTCACCCCTTCAGCCTTAATTCCCGCCTCACCCAGCGCACTCAGCACCTTCTCCGCGACCTCCTTACTCCCAACATTCGGATATTTCTCCTTGTAGTAATGGCTCGGAAACCCGTAGAAGCTTCAAGGGTCGTCAGTAACCGTTTCTCCACCCATCTCCAGCCTGACGATTCGATAATCACGAAGAAGACCGGAAATTGCAAAGGAAAGGAACATACTCATAGATCAACTCCGTAATCTCCGCCGTATTCACCTGGATCGTATCCCGTTTCCCTTGCCAATGGGCCGAGAAAACCACCACCGCCCGCGGCTTCACTTTCGTTGTGATCTCGCGTCCGATCTCCCCCAGCTTGTGGTACGCCGGGTGCTGATGATCGTACATGATATTCGGCTACACCACAAGAAGAATCAGTATCTCGCCTCTGTCAAACGGGGAAGGGCTGGACGTACACCCCCATGGCTCAAAAAATACACCGGCGTTTTCGACATGGTGGTGGACTCGACCGTAGATCGACCTACTGCGGAGGCGACGGGTGAGCTGAAGAAGCGACGGAGACGAGACAGATTGGCGGTGTTGGGGGTGGTGGTACTTTGCGAGCTGAGCTCGGTGGTGGATGCGCCCGAGGTCGCAAAGCGGGTAATAGCAACGGCAAGTAGAAGGGCAAGCAACGATATGAATGCAATCGTTGAGGGTTTGCGGTGGGTGGGTTGGTCTTCAGGCGCGGGTGTGGTGGCAGACATATATAAATACTTGTCAAAAGACGATATCTTCCGGTCTATAAGGTACAGTACGGTAGCAGTAAAAAAGCACACAAAAAGGTGTTCAGGGTCCCTTTCTGGGGAAAGTTTAGGAACAATGCGACTGGTACTGCAGAAATTCGAGATCAAACCACCAATAGGAAAATGCAACTTGGGGCGTGATTTAAAACTGGCACTCGTACTTGGAACATGCGAGAGCCGATCTTGCTAATCCACCGCGCATCCGATCGGGTGGTGACCAATCCCTCTCTCGGGAGTGCGGAATTGCCCCGCGCCCTCCCGACGGAATTGCCTCACTCCGCATACATGTATGGACAATGGACAACATACGCATTGCACGACACCGATCCTTGGGTCCTAGCTCTCTTACACTTGAACATGAGTCTTGACAGGTGGTCTTGACACGGGTTCTACATGACCAAGCTTGCATCGTAGATTAAGACAAACTGAGAAGGTGCTAGGAAATATACTTAAAGAAGTGTAATAAGGTGCTCAGTCTAGGAGACTGAAAGTGCTTCGCATGTCTGTCCCATCTCTGGACATTTGAAGCGGTGACCTCAAGGTTGAATACCCTAGTATTAAGTTGTGGTAGTATTACTTGTGGTTAAACACATGATGAAAATAAGCTGCTGGGGCAAATCGCATGATTGAAAAGCCTCGGCTATGCTGACACGCTGACCGCAAGTGGAAATGCATTGGGGAATCAAGAAAGAGAAAAGAGATGGGCCCAAGTGCAGATTAAGCAAACCATAGCCAATGCGTCTTCAGCAAACTGAAGTGATTAGTATGTATAAAGCCCCCCGATCCAGACGAGGCGCTATGGGCACGTGCCATGACATATCGCATCAAACGATTAAAATGATGTAAGTCTTCATATCAGTAAATGGAGGATTCAACCCAAGAAGAAAGATATATATGTGGATGATTCACATAAGAACACAATCTCCGTCATTCTGCTTTTGCTGATTGACGGCAGACCGAGAAAGACGGGTCTTCTGCATACGAGCTCCACCCTGCTTAATCTCCTCAAGGCGTTCACGAGCCTTAGGAAATCCTTGCGCTAAGCGACGAGAAAAGTGTCAGTATCAATCCAGATTTATGCCAGGGGCGGTACTAACCAGCTGCGCGCCAATACCATCGTTTTGCGTCATCCAAGTTTGCGACAACGCCAATTCCAACTTCAGTGAAATAGCCCATCGCGTACTCAGCTTTGGCAAGGCCGGCAGTGGCGGCCTTGCGAGCCCAAAGATACGCCTCCGTATCACTCTGTTGCAGGATCCCCTCCCCACCCGTCAAATACCACCCACTCAGGGCCAATTCGCTCTGGTGTTCTCCTTGCGCAGCAGCGTGTGTGTAGTAAATGATACTCTGCCGGGGATCCACAGGACAGCCCATCAGGCCATACTCATAGGCATTGCCCAGGTAGAATTGGGAGAATTTATACCCTAGTTCTGCGGCTTGATGGAACAACTGGCTTGCGTAGGCTTCATCGCGTGCAACCACATCGTTTCCTCCGTTCGCATACATCAATGCCAATTCGTGGAGAGCATGGGGATTCTCTGCGTCTGCGCGGTCTGCTGCACGCTTAAGCCAGGCAACTCCTTCACGCGGGTTTTTAGCTTGGCCTAGTAAACCCTTCAATAGAATCATTCCCATCTTATACATCGCAGGGGGGTCACCAAGGGCTGCTGCACGTTTATACCATTGAACAGCCTTGAACGGATCTCTCTTAGTGCCGCCACCTTCCTCTTGACCTATCTCACAACAGACCGCAACACGGTACGCCGACTGGGCGTGTCCTTGCTTCGCAGCAGCATAATATAAACCAAATGCTTCCTTAGGGTCAACCTGTAGACCCATCTGGCCCTGACCGTAGCAGTCGGCCAGATAGAATTGTGCATCGGCGTACCCGGCAGAAACCAATTTTTTGACAATCTTATAACCGTCCATGGTGTACTTTTCTCGGGCTTTGGCTTTCGTCTTTGGATCCATCCGACTAGCATCAACCAGGACAGTCGAGGCCTCGACCAGCTTTTGCGCAAAGAGCAGCTGGGTCTTGCGATCATTGGGTTTCGCCTTGACCAACTGCTGTAGGCGCTGCAGCTCACCTTGTGTCACCGGACCAGATGGAGCTGATTCAGCTGGTGGACCTTGCGGTGCTACCGGGGGAGATCTTGAGCTGCCGACGCTCTCGTATTGGCGCATTGGAGCAGGCTTGGATGCCTGCTCAAGACCGGGCCGGAACGGAACAGGGTGGTGTGGAAGAGCATCCGGGTTCTGCTGATCATCAAGCATTTCGGGCTGATTGATGGGTGGACTGTGGTCATTAACGGCTCTATATGGTTGAGACTGTCCATTGCCGTAGGGAGGAGTGTCCCTGGTAGCGTAGCCTGCTGCACCATCCGCATGCGCCGGTCCAGGAGGACTCCAATTGTCGCTTCGTTGCATGTATGGGTCTTCGTAAGGATCTGCGTTATATGCATAACCTGATTCCTCGTGATGATGTGCACCATGGGGTCCTTCACCCCCAGGCAAATCAAACTGAAAACCTGCGTTTGCAAATTGATTGGGCGCAGGCCCTCCCCGCGGATCAGATTGAGGGTGCGCGTAAGGATCGTCTGCCGGTTGCGGATTAAAAGCGGTGTAATGGGCCTGATATGACGTGGGCGATGCAGGGGATGGCTTGACCTTCGGCTGTTCCAAACCAGGCAGGCTTTCATCAATAATACCGCCCTTGGCAGGATCAGGCATAGCATCGAAGTTGGGCATGTCAGGCTCTTCCGCCTGTTTGCGATTATAATAGCTATCCACCCATGCCGCGGTGTCAAACCTTTCCTGGGGTCCTTGTGGGGCTGCATAGCTGGGCTCTTGATAAGTGGCCTGTCCTGGGTATAGTGGCTTGGGAGGTATGCTTTGTGCCGGTGAAGAGACAGGCATGGTCGCGCTCCTGTTAATATGGGGGACAGGGGGCGGCTCCTGTGGGTCTGTATATGGTCCATTGCGCCGTTCAAAAGAACCCGGAGACGGGCGACCTGTGCTGGCGGACCTCGCTGGTGTCCCTGGAGTGATGCTCCTACTTCTACCCGGAGACATAGGGTGGGTGGGCCGTTTAGCATGAGAAGTATGCGGGCGATCCGGAATCTGTGTAGGTACTGTTGCACCGCCATTGAGACTCATAGCGGCCATCCCGCTCTCAAGACCTACTGGTCCACGCTGGTCTTGGGCGGGAAATGAGGTGTTGATGCTAGGCAGTTGCGGGGGACGTCCGGCTGAATCAAGATATGATGAGCACGTGAGCCGGATGGATAGAATATAATCACTCACGCAGTCTAATACGATCCTGTCTTGGAGGTGGGATTCGATCCTCGGAGCCACGGCGACCATCATACCCTTGCGGTGGTGGGCCTCCACGATATGCATGGCTTCGGTCATCCCTCGGGGGGCCGTAACCGCCGCGCGGGGCACCGCGGGGCGGTGGCCCATGTCCATATGACCTCGGAACTGCACCTTCGCTAGCATATCCATATCCGTGATTATCGTGACCCCCATTGGGGAAGCCACGGTAGTTGTTATCATAGCGACTCTCAAGGTAGCTATCTTGTGGCGGGTAGCCCCTCCCACTGGGGGCAGGCTGGGGGGGACCGTAGTTTCGTACAGGCGGAGCCCTCTGTACTGGACGCTGCTGATATGCCATGACACACTCGAAGACCTAATGCACAAGGAAGCGAGTGGATGTGAATGGGTGAGGCGAGTGGGAGACGCGTGTTCTTTGTTCGCAAGGGGTAGCGACAGTTATATTCTGCGGGTTTGAATTGATTGGATCAAATTGTCTGTCTCTCAGTCTGTCTAGCCAAGCTGCAAGGTCTAGTCAGGAGGAGAAGGACCGGAGCGATTCTGTGCTGCAAAGCCCTGCACAGGTCGCAATAGGGGCGCGTGGCTTACTCGAAGCTAGGTCCGCACGAAAATCATACCAACACAATGATTTAGGAGTTCCATGTGAGATGTACGATCATCGGATCCAAATGGGCGCGCGCGATAAGGAGTTCAATCGGCCTTATTGAGACGAGAGACAATGTCAGTGGGAAGGTCATGGGCGCAGAGGATTGCAGAAGCGGAGAGCGCAAATGCGCAGGGCCAGCTTAACTCACTTAGAACACGAGCAATGAATGTCGCCTGCCTCAAAGTATGGAAATGGGTTCGTTTCCGACAGGATCCAGACCCAAGAACACAATCAATGAAGGGAAATGCTCAGTCAGCTATAAAGAACGTGTGTTGACCCCAGGAGTGAGCCAGCAGCAGGCAGCACATGGACAGAAAGGAAAAGGAGGAAAGAGGAGGAGGAGAAGGCGCGGTTGCGAGTCGCGCAGGTGAAGCAGTTGAGTGGAGGGAAAAAAGACAGCCCAAAAAAAGAGGGGAAGACTATGGCCCGCGGCGGTAATTTAGACCACTACACTATCTCTATCTGGGGTGATTAGCAACAAAGATAGCGTTCAAAGAGAAAAGAAAAAGAATGAGAAAGGCAATAGAAACGGATTTTTCAAGATTTTTATGACCCATCATCCTTTTTATTTTTGTTTCCCCCTTTGGACTTATTATCCCTCGTCTCCTTTAATTTACATAGCAGTCCACTCTTCTCGCATAGCTGATTTGTTTCACGCTGACCGGCACCTGACGCTGACGCTGGGGAACAGTTCTCCCTCCTTTGGCTGGAAAGACCCACGTTCGTTCCGCCAATACTTGCGCTCATGTCCCACTAACTGAGCCTGACCCTTGTGGCCGACAATGACTGCTCCTTTCTCTCATGTCATTCGGGCCCTGCGCGCGCTTAAGGGTGGGCGTTGTCTCGGCAGCGTCGGAAAGTCGGTTGTTGATGAAGATGGGTCTTCTTTTTGATGGTCACCGAATCCGCAAGATTGGGGTGCAATGACTTCTTGGCATGGCGCTAACTAAGGGACCAAACTACAATTGTGACGTTTTAGATAGTCGGTCCGAGGAAGGTAAAAAATAAAATTTAAGTCACGGTACACATATTCCCGACAACGGCCTCGAGTGACCCCGAGCACTAATCCTTAAGGGCACAATCAATCCTAAGCCCACAACATTCAACGCATGTCTATCAGTGATCAATAATATGATTGATCCCTGATCGAAGAGCAGAAAGCACCCTCGATCGTCAGGGGTCGATGCTTTCAACATCAAGCAGATCGTGCCGAGCCTCAGGCGGCAGCAAAGAACCAACGACAGGGCGGTGAGAAGTGCCTTTGCTCCACTACGCCTGTCCCCAGCAGAACGATTGGGTTACCATACTCTATCCAAAGGCCCGGCACAAGTCTCCGTCTGGAGTGTAGTCGGGCTCGCACTTCTTCTATTGGTCTTTCCGCGTGCTATACTATGGCACCGGTTTCTTCACAAATCTTGACGCCCGAGCGAAACAATCCCCATCAGTGCCATGGGGCACAGGCACCAGTTTCCTTCGACCTTTGGCCTGTCTAGTACTACAGTGATCATCCAGCACAGTTGTGCAGCTTAGTAAAGGTGGTGATCCTCTGGAGATCTTCATTAATATCGGTATTTATCCCTGCTCAAATTACACATAGTGTAGCTTTTGGTTCGGATATTGGGCTCGGGGCAACTAAAGATAAGCTTGCACTGGGAATTGAAACTTATGAGCGTAATCATCCATCAAAAACTCATATGATGGTATGCCCCAAGGCCTGATGCTTTAAAAATAGTTACATGGAAAAGAGATGTCTAAGACATCGGAGTGTCAAGGATGCGGGTGCGGGATACTTTCCTGCCAGGACATGACATGATTGGAGCTGAATACCAGAACCGACTGTACCATACTGCAGAATGTGTGCCGCAGAGTTTGAGGCATGAGGGCATAAGGCAGTCAACCACATACCAAGTGGAGCAACAAGGCTCCTCTCCATGGGCTTAGTTGCTTTGGTAGCAAATCACAGTGAGCAAAACCTTTTGTCGATTGGTGTGTAATCCAATGTCGGGATTGGCGGACAATGACACAGCCACATTCCGAGCCACGAGCACTAGCCTCAAAACTGTGCCACACGCTCGCTGTCTGCCGAAACCCGCGCGCGCGGATGACGATGGACTGATGCTCAATCGAGAAGAAGCATATCGAAAATCGCAAACAATTCTAGTTAGCTTGAGGAGTGTCTCGCCAACTCGGCATCTCTGCACCTCTCTACCCTCGAAAGCTTCGCGTCTGACATCATCGCTCAAGACGGATAGCCATCCTCCGAACGCTTCGCCATCATGTCTCGTGCAGGAACTTGGCTGAAGATGCTGGGAGTGTAAGCTGGGTTCCCAAGCGCACCACTTCAACTATGTCTGGAATAGCTTCTGACGGTCAATAGCGGTGTCGTTTGCTGCGTGGGAGGCCCGGCCTTCGTGCAATACATCCGGCCCACGGACGAAGAATTGTTCAAGCGCTACAACCCCGACCTTCAGAAACGGAGTCTGGAAGAGGGCGACCGACGAGCACGGGATTTCGATGAATACGTTACTAAGTTGAAGCAGTGGTCCAAGTCTGACAAGCATAGTATGTTGAGATCTTTCTCTATGCCGATGCTGAATGAGAAATCATCGTTGTGCGGTGTGCTGACACCTCTTGTTGTGTAGTTTGGATCGCCGCTCAAGAACAACAGGAACAGAGACGCCTGGAGGCGGAAACGCAAAATACGCAGGCGAAGGAAGACGCCAGGGCGCAAAGAGAAGAAATGCGGAAGGAGTTACTTGGTGGGAAATAAGAGGCAAAGAAGATATCAGTACGGAAGCAAGATCTATCATGAAGCCTTCGGCTCTCGGTCGTTTTTGGTGAAACGAGAAGTGCGTTCTTCTCCTCTTATCAACAACGCCATGTACTTACACCCCATATAAGAAAGTTGGGGAACCTGAAAAGCAGTCTCTCGAATCGTCGTGGACCCAGGCGTGTGCGGAGTTATATGGGCGATATTGTATTATATTTCATTTTATTAATGTCTGAACGACTGAATGGAAATCCACTCTATCTGTATTCTTTTGCTGATGCTAAAGTTGAGATCATGCATTGGGCTAAGGAAGACTACAGCAGACCACTATCAATCGTAGAGGGATCTCAAATTTATTGTGCTTCGCTATATTGTTGGTGCGGGATTGCTACCATAACTCCAATTCACGAAATTGGTATCAGCAGCGTATTTCAGGGACTCCTCATGATTTGGGACATTTATATGGCCATACAGTGACTTGATCAATGTTCTAAGTGTCTGCGAGAAGCTTCCGGATCAGCCTAGCTACTCTTCGGAATATCAAACACGAATCCGCTCTCTCTTTCCATAGTATGGTATATTTTGGGGCTTGACACGCAGTACCCCAAAAGTATCATGTATACCCCAAGTGATGCATGTACAGTACAGTACATATCTATCTGCAGGACAAGTACGTATGCTTTTCGACCGGGGGTATATGAACACCTGGCGATGCAGCAGGATATGTTGTGCTGGAAGTGACGTATTTCACAACTCGTGCCATATTTCCAGCATGTCTACTACGATTTGCATTCTTGCAAAGAATACCTGACCATAGATGTGTTAAAAAGATGACGATGATGGGAGATCTCAACAACCGTTATTGAGGATTGACATACTTAAGTGGTTGGTAGGGTTCACGGTCTATTCCAGATTCGGATTCAAGCGCGAGGGATCGCCACGTGAAGCCGACGGCGGGCGAAACACTGCATAGCCACTAGGCTGAAGGTACGGTGCTTCCAGCCTCCTCCCGTTCCTTTAGCAACACATGACTTGGCATGACAATTGGCGTACTTCTGATGCCCAATGGACCACTTTGGCGGGAAGATGTCGTCTCTGTGTTCGAATCTGGGAATGAATGGAAGTATCAATGGTCCATTTTCGTAGAGACAGCCAGTCGGTGGCATGTCATGTATGTAAAGTAGATCTGTCACAGCAACTGTGTTTGATTATTGTTTGGATAGGTGGTCGGCTAGTAGGTCGCATATGCATGTGGCCTCTCGCAGAGTCGCAAACCTTTTGAGGAAACACCATGTTACTGTGATACCACACCCTTCTTGCGACTTCTTTGTTCCATGGGCGCTGGGTTCGAATCCATTCTAGCATAAAAATAGCTGCCTGCGAGGCGGGTTGTCTTTCCCAGCCAATGCGTGGTCACGTGTTGCGCCCGCCCCCCCGACCGACCCGAAACGCCTGTAATCTCCAGACAGCGGGCGGCGATTCATCACACCTTGTCAGCTTCCCTCCAGCAACACATCCACCTTACTCCACTACATCAATCATTCCACATTCTAATCACTTTTCACGACTAAGCAGTTTTCACGACTAAGCAGTACATTCGATTCCTCATTCCCCCCAGACGACTGCACGCCGACCTGCTAGACTTGTTGCCACAACTCCCACCTCACCCCCTGCGGAAGGAACAAACAAAAGAGCTCATCAACCTCAACACCGCAATTTGGTGATCTACCAGACCCGACGTCTCGTTTCCTACACACAAACCGAGTACATCGCGCATCGCAGTCATGTCTGAGCAGCCTTACGATCCTTACATTCCGTCTGGATCCAACGGACCCAGCGCTACCGCTGCGCAAAATGGCGACCCCCGGACGAGGGAGATCGACAAGGTGAGTTAACGATGGGCCCCTTTTCCATGCGATGTGCTTCCGGAGCGTACTTCGGGAGCGATTGCATAGTGCTTTGCACCAAGAAAATGTGGTTGCTGCCTTAACTTGGGCATATTGTCTGCTCTGACGGACTACTGCACGTTATCGAATGAGCTGTCTGACTGACGAGCCTGCCTCCTCGAACAGAAAATCCAAGAAACCGTCGACACGATGCGCTCAAACATCTTCAAGGTCTCGGAGCGTGGCGAGCGCCTTGACTCGCTTCAGGATAAGACCGATAATCTGGCAGTATCAGCCCAGGGCTTCCGCCGTGGCGCCAATCGGGTGCGGAAACAGATGTGGTGGAAGGACATGAAGATGCGCGTATGCTTGATCATCTGTGTCATCATCTTGCTTGTAGTGATTATCGTCCCTACTGGTAAGATCTACATCTATTAACCTCGATCCGCCGTCCACTCGGCAATTGGTTTCCGGATGCGCTAACCCTTAATTTCAACCACAGTGATCACCACCAGAAAATAAGTTACGAACGCAGCGACAGTCATGATTGTCTTGGGAATGGATGATGTTTTTCTTCTTTTTCACTTGGTCCTGGTTTATCTGTGTTGTGCCCGTGAAGCTTTTGTTTCCAGCTACTAATACCTCTTGCTTTTTCTCGGGCGTCGAACTATCCCTGTTCTCACGAATGAAGTCTTCTTGCCTCGCCGCACCATTGACGCCATGGGCTGCTCTGGGGTCTTGAGGCTATGCCACATGAATCCATCGACTGTGAAGATGTAAATGATACTCTGGTGCTCGCTCATGTCCTAGTATATCAGTGCGCTTTGTCTTTCTCACTTCGTTTCCTGTGCTACCCTTTACGGGTATGCCTGATGTTGTGTTGCTGCGTGTCCTTCGTTCTTTAGCCTCTGAATGTCAACAATAAATTCCTCATGAAACGTTGATCCAAGAAAAAAAACAATAAAAGATGCAATGGCAGATCCAGCCTGTTGAACCTGAAAGTTCCGAATCGCGCCACCCACACGTGATTCCGAAGCAACGGAGAAAGAGCTTTGGCGGGGACGGCATGCTGTGGACCATACAATAAGAAAAGTATCCAATAATGAAGGACAGGTGGCCAGTGACCAGCCTAGGAGGAGTGTTCGGTTAAGGGAGGATCAGATAACGAAAGAGAACCAGAGTCTGAGAGACACTGATGGAGATGGCACTTGAAAAGGGAAGTGCGCTGGGGCACTGCGGGCAGTGGCTCCAGCCTCCAGAGAGCATTGATGGCAATGATTCGCTAGGGAGAGGGGAGTGGGTGGCTAGTAAGATCAGATAACGATTCCCAGGAATTATTATTGTATGATGGAAATTGATCCGGGACGTTTCAAGACTCCATTTTGCAATTTTCATTACGTGTGGGGATGGATACCGGGAGGGCAAGCATTGCCAGCAAGCCTGGGATGTTGGGGGGGGTGGGTTGCTAGGTGTATAGTGCTGAGAGCCTGTGATTGCTGGGACCGCTGGGAACTGCTGGAACTGCTGGAACTTGTCTATGAGAATTTCATGGGAACCAGAATGGGGCTCTGCCGTATCCGTAGTTTGGTCTTGGATCAATCAGTTCACCTAATATGAATGATGTGGTGAGTCATGCTGGGAAAGAGGAGCTCCGAAAGTCGCAGTCGCAGTGGCAGCGCGCACGCACGCACGCAGGCAGGGCCAAGGGCAAGTTGTTCGGGCAGTTGTGCGGCGCCGCTTCCTTGCGCAATTTATTCCACTGGCTCGTTCGAATTTCCCTCAATTCCGAGCTTACCCAAAGATTAGGACTTTCCAGCAATGGTTGTAGGGAAAGGCAAGTATAAAAGGGGGGAACGTAGGAAGGGGGGTCTGGTCGCGAGTTGATGTAGATGTAACTCTACTCTTTCATCTTAAGTACTTGCAAGGAGGGAAACGATTCCTCCCGGAGTGGGCACTAACTCAACTAAACCAACTTCTTTCTACTGACTAACTTACTACTACTTACCAACCTGCGTGAGTCAAGAGTAGGTTTCCGGCCGATTGCAGAAAATGGAAGACGCCCGCTCCGACAAGTAGCCGATCATCACTTTTACCATCTCGACCATCAAAACTCTTTGGAGCCTGCGGCAAATTCCCTGGCTGCACCCGAATTGGCTCCCTCCACACAACCAACCTTTTAACTCATTCTTCCTTGTCACTTTTCTTCTTCTTCTCCTCCTCCTCCCCCCCCTCCCTTCTTCCTCCTCCTCCCTCGAACAGTCCTCTTTAAATTTAACAGCTTTATTCATACTTTCGGGCTTCTCCCCCTCCCCCTCAACTTTTCTGTTCGAGTAGGCGCAAAAGCTGCCGCATGTTGGCTAGCAAGATGTTCTCCCTTCGCACTGCCGTGCGGAGAGCTTCCCCCAGCAAGCCCCTCCGCGCGCTCTCCGCACCGCTCGCCGTTTCTCGCGCCAGAATCGGCTCCCCCTCTGCCCGCCACTCACTCAAAGCTTCTGCCGTTCCATTGTTGCAAGGGCGTCAATACTCTCGTGCTACCGATCCTCAGCTTTCTTCCACCCGCTCCACGGTCGTTCAGTTGCTGAGCAACATCGGCTCCAAGCGGGAGGTCCAGCAGTACCTCTCCCACTTCACCTCCGTCTCCCAACAGCAATTTGCCGTCATTAAGGTTGGCGGTGCTATCATCACCGAACACCTTCAGACTCTCTCCTCCGCCCTCGCTTTCCTGAACCACGTTGGCCTCTACCCCATCGTTGTCCATGGCGCTGGTCCTCAGCTCAATCGCATGCTCGAGGATGCTGGAGTGGAGCCTCAATTCGAAGATGGAATCCGCGTGACGGACGGAAAGACCCTGGCTCTGGCCAGAAAGTTGTTCCTTGAGGAGAACCTCAAGCTGATTGAGGAGTTGGAGCGCATGGGTGTTCGGGCCCGCCCGCTCAATGCCGGCGTCTTCACCGCCGACTACCTGGACAAGGAGAAGTACAACTTGGTCGGAAAGATCAATGGTGTTAACAAGAAGCCCATTGAGTCTGCCATTGAGGCTGGCTGCCTTCCCATCCTCACCTCCATGGCCGAGACGCCCGATGGTCAGGTTTTGAATGTCAATGCTGATGTCGCGGCCGGTGAGCTCGCGCGTGCTCTTCAACCCCTCAAGATCGTCTACTTGGCGGAGAAGGGTGGCTTGTTTAACGGTGACACTGGCGAGAAGATCTCCGTGATCAACCTCGACGAGGAGTATGATCACCTGATGACTCAGTGGTGGGTGCGTCACGGCACTCGTCTGAAGATCAAGGAGATGAAGGATCTCCTCAGCGACCTTCCTCGCACTTCTAGCGTTGCTATCATCCACCCCGCCGACTTGCAGAAGGAACTCTTCACCGACTCTGGAGCCGGTACCTTGATTCGCAGAGGCAACAAGGTCCACACCAAGACCTCCCTGTCCGAATTCGAGGATCTGGACAAGCTTAAGGATGTCCTCGTTCGCGATCGTGAGGGCTTGGACGCCCGCGCTACTGTCGATCGCTATGTTGAGGGCTTGAAGGAGCGCGACTTCAAGGCTTATTACGATGAGCCCATGAATGCGCTCGCTGTTGTGTTGCCCCCTCAGAAAGATGCCACCTCTTCGCTGGCACACTTGGCTACTTTCACCATCACCAAGTCCGGCTGGCTCACCAACGTAGCTGACAACGTCTTTGCCGCCATCAAGAAGGAGTTCCCCAAGCTTGTCTGGACTGTGAAGGAGGACGATGAGAACCTGACTTGGTTCTTCGACAAGGCCGATGGCAGTCTCAGCCGTGAGGGAGAAGTTCTCTTCTGGTACGGGGTTGAGAGCGGTGAGGAGGTCAAGCAGCTTGTTCAGGAATTCAACGAGCACGGCCGCCAGATGTTCGGAGACATTAACCTCGAATCGCGGTTGCATCGTGCTGCCCAGGCCGCTACCCACATCGGTAAGGGCTTCGGTGCTAGCGGCGCTTCTACTGAGCAAAGACGTGCTTTCTCCTCGACTAGCAACGCTCTCCGTGCTGCTCGCTCGACTCGCCCTACCGTTCCTGTGCAGGCTTTCAGGACTTACGCCACTACCAACCCCAACCCCCCTCTTGGAGAGAAGAACATGTCCAACACCCGCCCTTCCAAGGTTGCTCTGATTGGAGCTCGCGGTTACACTGGCCAGGCTCTGATCAACCTGATCAACGCTCACCCTCACTTGGACCTGCGTCATGTTTCTTCTCGTGAGCTGGCTGGCAAGAAGTTGCAGGGCTATGACAAGCGTGAGATTATCTACGAGAACCTCAGCCCCGATGATGTCAAGCGCATGTCTGCCAACGGTGATGTTGACTGCTGGGTTATGGCTCTCCCCAACGGTGTCTGCAAGCCCTTCGTCGATGCTGTCGACCAGGGTTCCGAGACCGGCAATGTGATCATTGATCTCAGTGCCGACTACCGCTTCGATGAGAAGTGGACTTACGGTCTTCCTGAGCTGGTCAGCCGTTCCAAGATTGCCCAGGCTACCCGTATCGCCAACCCTGGATGCTATGCGACTGCTGCTCAGGTTGGAATCGCTCCTCTTGTCCCTTACCTCGGTGGACAACCCACTGTCTTCGGCGTTTCCGGCTACTCTGGTGCTGGCACCAAACCCAGCCCTAAGAACGACGTCGAGAACCTTACGAACAACATAATTCCCTACAGCTTGACTGATCACATCCACGAGAAGGAGATCAGCTCGCAACTTGGCGCCAGCATCGCTTTCATCCCCCACGTTGCGGTCTGGTTCCAGGGTATCCACGTACGTTCGGCTCCTACTTCTGTTCCTTCTTCATTGGCTAACTTTGGTCCAGCAAACTATCAGCATTCCCCTCAAGGAGGAGTTGACTTCTCGCGATATCCGCAACATCTACCAGGAGCGCTACGCTGGTGAGAAGCTCGTCAAGATTGTTGGCGAGCCCCCTCTGGTGAAGAACATTGCCGGACGCCACGGTGTTGAGGTTGGCGGCTTTGCCGTTCACTCCAGCGGCAAGCGTGTTGTTGTGTGTGCTACCATTGATAACCTGCTCAAGGGCGCTGCCACTCAATGTCTGCGTAAGTAGCCCTGAACTAATGGCTTTCCTGATTCAAAGAACGATGCTAACACTCCGTGTACAGAGAACATGAACCTTGCCCTTGGCTACGGCGAATACCAGGGCATCCCCCTTGATTAGGTTGTTTGCACTTGTTATTTAAAAGCACCATGTAACATCCATCTAGTCGAAGAGTAGGTATATAATCCTTCGAATGCAGGAAATCCGTTCTTCTTAATCCCGAGGAAGTATAGCCTCATGTTTCGAGTTTTGATCTTTTTGCATGTCCCATACCCCACGTGCATCTTCCCGGGTTGCCATGGGTCGGAGATATCAGTAAACACTCTATCTCTTTCTTCATATTCCATGGTTATCTCCTGGTCTCTGTTTTTCATCTACTGTCTTCTGGTTATGAATAGAACGATCCTGGCAATTACTTCAACCTGTTTCCTTTTCTCTTAAAAGCACTGGACAGCGATTGCTGTTGTATTGTATCTCGTCTGGTTGGTGCTAATGCAGTGTAGCTGGCCAGAGGAGCGCCAAAAGTCGATTTAGTTATTCTCATCTTATGCGGGTGGTCTCAGGTGTACTCACTTCCTTGTCGACTTGCTAGCCGGGCGTCTTTCTCTACGGTGGTTCGGATGTTTCTTCCCTAATACAATCCCCGATAGACAGCGGCGAATCATTTCATCAATAAGACATACTCTTAAGCTCAGACACTCACATCTCCTGCGGTTCATGTCCCTGCAGAATTGAAAAAGTCGTTCGTTGCGGAAAGTCGGAGTGACCTTACGCGTCCAGACTCGTCACTTGAATCCTTTTCAACGCGATACTGAAAGTCTCTTCGATCAATCTACCACTCATGAGAGCGTGTCTTGCTCAATCAAGCACGCGTTACTTTCGTGTACGAGCTTCACGTCCATATATCTAGTATTTGCTTGACTGTTACCTTTTCCTAAAGACAAGTACTCCCCACACCTCTACTTCATCCCCGAGCCCAAATGACTTTACCTTTTTGAACAGCCCACTTTCCAGAATTGTCGGGGTTCACACCAAGACCTTGTCGGACGTCATCTGCTCTCTGACCTTAATCTCAGCAGCATCGGAGTCTCCAATCCTACTTTGACTTCACGTGCTCGACCCCAACCGTACAGCAGGCGGATTGGGGCTGGTAGCATACAGCTCTTCGTTCGAAAATGTTCTACAGTCATGAAAGTGAGTCAACCTTCTAACTCCCGGAGGTTCACGTACTAGCTAAAGCGTTTTCATTCTTCTAGTACTTACCTCTCCCGAGTACGGTGTCGCGACAATATGGTTCGCTGCAATCCCACGCGTCGAGTCTACGCTTGCAAAACGTATTGAATGGCTAATATAACCTTGTCTTCAGGCTGGTCGCAACCCTGGGCTCGAAGTCTGTCACCAGACGTCTGAATAGAAAGACTATACTGGATGTGGATGTCCCTAAGGCGTGCGGCGCCATCATGGAGCCGGGGGCACCAATGGCACTGAGGCTTCAGGGGAATCTTCTGTAAGATGCTCACTGTCCTGATCCGGACATGGGCTGTTTCGTTTGCTTACAAGACACTCAACTACCAGATACGGGGTCTCAAGGGTTTACAGCCATCAGTGCGGGTATACGCTCACAGATGTCCAAGCCATGCATGACAAAATGAAAACAATGCTGAAGACTCTACCGGGTGGTGGTCTGGACGCCTCTGCCGGGAAGGCTAGGTACGTCTCGTTTCCATTAATGAGGGCAGCAGAGGGGCGTCTTTCAATACTCTGATCACCGCTGGTATGATGCTAATGTCCATCTTCTATAGGCCCGAGCAGCTCATCTTGCCTTACGATCCATCATTCCTGCCTGATAGCCTCCCTGGGCTTATCCTTGACCTCTCGAGCTTCAATGCATTGACTGAGGTCGATCAGAGCGCATCGACCTTTTTCAATCGGCCAAAGACACCCAATTTGAGTCAGTCGGTCGTCTCGCAGGACACAAGTTTGCAATTGAGCCTGCCATCCGATGACAATTACGCGGGAGGCTTGGGGGGCTTCGCCTCGGATATTGATACTGTTGGGTATGGTCCGAGGAGCATCACTTCGGAAAGGATCAGACCTTTTCCGCTGGACGAAGAGGCGGGTGTGATTCTTCAAGCTGATTTCGAGTTCGACGAGGACGGAAACATTGTTGAGCTGGGAGCAACTCCGCAAGTTGGGGGTATATCACACAGTGTTGCTCACAGCCACCACGAAAGGGGGATCATGAGTGATCTTGGAGTCTGTGCTGAAGAAGATATCATCATGGATGATCAGGTATAGCTTTCGGGATGACTATATGTGGCACAGTACTAACTCAGAGTTTATTCAAGATTAACATGATCGAGGACGGTCTCGAAATAGGCGAGAAACCCGAGCAGAACACCCGAGGTGCTGGTCACTTGCCGGCCAGATCAACACCTTTTCCCGACATGGTTTTAGATGACGAGGTCGCTCCAGAAGCACATGAAGTGTCAATGGCTCAGAAGCAAAGAGCCCCGAAGTTGATACAAGCGGATGACCAGATCGGGCTAAGAAACAGTGAACTAGCTCACCTGAACCAGAACTTTGTGGAACTTATGGCGATAGCCTCGAAGCAAAAGTCGAAGAACAAACTTCCTACACTGTCGAAGAAGAACGCGGCCTTCTGGGTATATGGTCAGGGAATTGGCTCTGTTGGGAACGGAGTAGGCAAGTCTCATGCCACGCATCCATTGCATTTCTTCTCGGGAGAGCAACTTTACAACACTCTTACAGCGACTGCTGCCAGTCTGAGTCCCAAACGTGTTCACGACTCCATAGAAGATGAGGAACAAGAGCATATCGGAAGACGCGTGCGAGCTAGGAATGATGGCCAGCCAGCTGATCAGATGGAGTTTCCCAACAATGATGATCTCTGGAACCAGGTTTGTTCTCTCATGTCTACCTGCCTCGCATAGAATATTGGCTACTAAGCTACGTGGTGCAGGATGTTGAGATCGGTCGCCATGCCTCGTCAGTACTCCATGATGAAGGCTCCTTTCAGATGCCCTGGAACATTACAGCCTCTATACATAGCTCTCGACAGGGATCCATTGCGCGCAACATCCTCCCCGGTATTGGAAGTGTTAGTGATTTTTCATCCCGCGGCTTTTCTGACACGGGTCTTTTGAGACCACGCAGCCGCCTTACAAGCTCAAGCCCTCTTGCTGGACGTGGCTTTCCATTCTTTATCGAGGCACTTGACAACCTACAGCTCCCTGGTCACGAGCCGGAGGATGTAAACATGTTTGAGGACTTTGACATCTCGCAATACCTGCACACAGAAGAGGAGGCAGACCACGGTGGAGTCGCCCGTAACAACGCAGTCGAAGCTATCGCGGCCGAACCTGGGCATGCTTCTGCCAGTCTCCCAACCCACGGGGATGACTCGCAGAGGTCCACTCTCGACCAGGAAAGTCTGAACTTCCTCGACTTCCTCACCGCTAAGATTGCAGCATTGGCTCGTGCAGATGAGAGAGATGGTCAGGACCTGGTGCGCCCCTCCTCAAGTCATCTCAGTGGCATCAAGCAAACAATGCACTTTTCTTCGCTTCTTCCCCCGGCCAAGACATCTCGCATCGTGGCTACCCAAGGTCTCATGCACATCCTCGCTCTGGCTACCAAAGGCCTGCTCACAGTCCATCAAGATGAGGCACAGTATCTCGGTGGTGAAAAGTATGGCGAACTCTACCTGTATGGCGAGATCTATCTCAGTTTGCCAGAGATCTGAGAGTGCGCTTTGTATGTGAACACATCAGCCGTCTCAACTGATTCGGACAGCAGTCGGTACTTGCTAAAAACTCTGTATTTTTATGTTCAACATGGTCTCTAACATTCCTATCTCTTCCCATCAGACTGCCCTTGTTTTTCTTTTCTACTGATCTTTCGTGGTAATCTTTCCAGCTTCTATGGTGTCGGACAGATTTACAATACGGTATTTAATGCTCATACAGATGGTGGTTCGCGTGCGGTTCTTCGTCTCACACAAAATTTCCATCTGCAACTCACTTCAATATCTCTTTTCTTTCCCACTTTTTCTTCTTCTTCTGACTATTGATTTCGGCCATAAAGCTTTCTCAATGAAATCCTTGTTGCCATAACATTGTAAGCTCGAGATCCCCCAGACTTTTCATCATTAGCTGCTGGTGATGACTCAAGGATAGCGTCAGAGAAGGGTCGATGGTCTTTGTTTGATGGATGGTAAGAATGTATGGATGGTTTGGTAGCGAATCGTAACAGTCGACGACGACGAGGGAAGCGTTGAGCAGGAAGTATAAACTGCGGAAAAAAAAGAAAGTCAATGCACATGAACAAGTAGACCCGCATGTAATAGGGACAAGGGGTGTTTAGAGGGAATGTGACAGCTGTCTGGGGAGCAGTTCCTTCGCTTGGCATACTTACAGCTTACTCCATAACTACCTTATGAGACTGGTCTTCACCATCTATTCCAAGGCTTGACATCCGTTATCACCAATAGTTCTGACGAAATGACGACTTCTATACTACTTGGTAAACAATGGAAACATTATTACACCTCTTCCTACGGTGTCATCCCTTCACACGAGGAATTCAACCCAATGTCCAGCATTTTAGAGCAAAGTAAGACACGGAAAGGCAGCACGCGTGGTTGACGGTGGCTGTGTAACCCCCCAGTGTGTCCTGACACAACATCTGATTCTGCAAGCCGCAGCCTTCGTCGAGAAGGATAGATGGCCTTCGCAAGAAGAAAGGTGCATACGTAGATCTTGAGATGCGTGATGCGATCTCGATCTCGATTTCGGTTTTGTCAGATAGATCAATACAAGATACCCTTCCAAGTTTCCCTTTTCCATACCTGGTTTGGTTCTTTGGATTCCAAACACGGCCGACGCGGTGGTAAAGCTGGGAACAGGTGGTATGATATGCTCGGACCCGTCTGGTCATGTTACTCTTACTTCGATACAGCCGGAGGTGGTATTCGTTTGCCAGTATTGCCAGTACTGTTCAGTAAGTTACCAGTACAACAATTCTTTTGGCAGAGGTCTGCAAGGCCAGAATTGACTATTCCTTGGGATAACTACTAATACCGTGGTCGAAGAAGATCGAAATGCGGTTGAAGAAACTGCATATCTAGATCTGTCACCCCAGGAGGTTGCTGGCAGCAGCACACTGGCTTATTTTTAGGAGAGAAGGAAGTGGACTCGGTCAGCCTGCCGTCTTGTAGCCTTGGTTTTGACTTTGTGAAGAGGGCCTAGAGTCGATCGTGTTTGAGGGGGTCGAAGAGGAGGTGATTGCCTTTGTGTCTGGATGCTGATGCCGTTCATTCTCTATTTCGTCCGATTAGATGAATCTGGTAGATACGATAGATGAGTGGTACAGTACAGGATAACGAAGCAAGAACCTTTTTTTCATGCACTGGCATTTTTCCCACCCTACGAAGAAGAGACTCGATCGGGTGAGTGGTTTGGTTTGGTTACTGGTTAGTCAGCCCAGCCCAGCCCGACCCGAATGCCAGGATCCAAATTACGCGGGCGAGGTGTAAGGTCTCGTCCGTCTTGTCCGTCTTGTTCCGTTTTTAACGAGTTCGCGTAAATTAACCGCCACTTGCCGTCAGTTTGTCTCGTTTTGTCCTCGTTATTCGTTCTCGTTCTGGTTTTGTCTTGTCTTGTCCTTCTCCCCCTGCTCTCTTCCTCTCTCTCTCTCTCTTTCTTTTCTCTTTCCCTCTCTCTTCCCTTCCCTCCCTCCACTTTCTTCCCGTCCCGTCAAACATTCATTGATTCTTCCTTTTCACTCTCGCTCACCCCCCGAGTTTTGGCTGCCTTGTCCTCGTCCTGCTCCCTCGTTTCGCTCCCCTCCCACCCTTCCCCTTCCCTTTAAATCATCCTTTGAGATCCTGTGAGATCGTCTTGTAAATCAGGCGTGGTTTCTTTCCCTTCCACCCCCCCAATATCGATTTATTCACCCCATTTGTCGTGAACATGGGTCGGACAGTCGACCAGGAAGTTCACGCGGCGTTCGTCGAGTTCCGCGCCAAGGAAGACGATAAGGTGCGTGACTTCCGTATTTCCCGTAATATTTCCAAACGCCCGCCTACCAACAGAATTCAACCCAACTACCCCCCGTCAGCACCCGTCATCGTTACTGACATAACGATTCTGTTTGTTTGCTCTTCGCAGTGCCTTTCCGTCCAGTGTATCTATTGCCAGCAAATTCGCGCAAAGAACACCTCGCGTCAGAAGCAGCACCTGCTCGAATGTCCCGGCCTCCGTCATACCAACCCTCAAGCTCAGTCACAGTCCGCTCAATCCACTACTAACGGCATCGGTGCTGCCAACGGATATCCTCCCACTCCCAATGGCGCCTCTGCCACAGCTTCCGGCGCTGGGCCAGGGCCTGGTGCCCTCGCGACCCCGAATGGACCCATGATGTCCAACGGTGTCAATCCGCATGCCACCCCGATGCAGACGCCGCTGCAGAATATGCAGGGACGCGCTTCCTTGCCGACGTCAGGCCCTGCCGGGGCCACCTCCACGGCCGCTGCCGCGCAGCAGGCCTCTCGTGCGACACCCAAGTCCAAGCCGAAAAACTCGTCCTCCAACCTCCCCGCCCCGCCCCTCGATGACGTGCATGCTGCTTTCGTAGAGTTCCGTGCGAAGGAAGAAGACAAGGTAAGACCCACACCGGGTTTCATGGGCGAGCGAAAACACGCGCGCGGCCTGCACAGTAGTTCTGACGCGAACTTCTTCTCTTTATTATAGTGTCTGTCCGTCCAATGCATATACTGCCAGCAAGTCCGCGCGAAGAACACGAGTCGACAACGCCAACATCTGCTGGAATGCCCCACCTATCTCAGTGTCATGAAGGACTCGATCCCCGCCAACAACCTCCTCCACACCTTCCCCGAGGGCGACGTGGCCCGCTCGCTGCAGATCCCCGCGCCTACTCTCGAGTTGGACTTCCGTATGAGCATCAAGATGAACCCCAAGGTCGCTGTGGGCGAGAGTATTTGGGGTCAGCGTGACTGGGTGACATTTGTGGGAGGGCAATGGGCGGGTCGATGGGGCAAAGGCATTATCTTGGTAAACACACTTCGTGCTCCAGAAGGAGGCATTCGCATTATGCTAACCTGATACTAGCCTGGGGGGCAGGATTCTCAGATCGTGACTAAAGAGTCATCCACCAGCCTTCGAGCGAGCTATATGCTTCAGACCGCCGACGACCCCCCTGCGTACATTATTGTGAAGACCAATGGATGGTTGACTGGCTCTAAGGACGTTTTGGACAAAGTCAACGACCCGACCGTGGCTGATGGTGTCAACCCGAACACGTACAAATATCGCATTAACCTATCTATGGAGACCGGAGATGAACGTTACGCATTTTTGAACACTCTGATGTGGATTGGCAGTGGCTGTCGCCGGAACCAAGAAGGTTAGTCGGATCCTCTTCTCCTACTATGCCCTACCATCACTAATGCTCTTGCACAGTTATTTTCGACGCCTTCCGCGTCAATTAATCTGCCATAAAATCGCAGCTGTTTTGTCCGTTATTAAGCGAGTAGCAAATTTGATTTCACGGGGGAAAATTGCGGTCCATCTTCTCTCTGCTCCTGGGGAATTGCTTCAATTCCTATTCCTTTTTCTCAGTCTATATCTCTCATCTGCCTCCAGCCGTACGGGTGCGTTGTGTGGTACCTATGAATGTTTTGACCGTTGTAATCCGTCTGAGCACCCTGTTCTTCTCTATCTTGTGGGGATACAAGTGACAATATCTCTTCATCAGCCATAACAGCCACGAATCTGCTTGATGTGTTTGTTCTGTCATAGTGGCAAGTGCAGCACACTGCAGCTGAAATGTTTCATCATGAGCTTTCTTCCTCTTATGTTTTTCAGCCTCCGCTGCTCGGCCTCCGTTTCTCTACTGGTGCTCTCTCATTTCCCACTTGTGTAAGATCTTCAGTCTCCTTTTTTTCTTTGCCGTGTTTGTCATCGCATCCAGGAACCCAAATTGTCATGACCAATGTCATTCTGTCCGGGGGTCATAATTTTTTTCTTCTCGTTGGTCTGTACCCGTGTCGAAGTCTCGGACATATGATTCATTCACAGAATGGAATCTTTCTCTTCTTGCGCGTGTGTATATGTCTTGTGTGCGTGTGCGTGTGCGTGTGTGTCTTATACGCAGATGAAGATCTAGGAAAGTATTACGGTAGTCAACTAGGTGTAGAAACGATTGTTGCTGCAGCTTATTGGACCTCTGGCATATCGATGAACTCACTAACCCTTAATACCATTACTAAGTCCCAAGAGAGATGCATTTGTTGACCCCAAGTTTTCCAACCCAGTCAAGTAGTGCCAATTGACCCGGGCAAATGGCTACGATATCTATCTGTACCTGCGAACCGTAGATCTAGACCCTGAAATATATTTTCCCTTACTAGGCGGAAGTAAAGTGTTGGTGCATTGCGGTTGCGGTTCGGTATTTCAAGTTCGGCGGGTATTTACCTTGGTGAGGTATGCTTACAGGATACCTAGTACTTCGTCTCGTACCTGGTTTGGTTACCGAACCTCATCGTACCCCAGCTCCGTACCCGATGGGGGAAAGTGGTAACTAACGTTGGGATGGTCGGAACTTATCTTGTTATGGGACATCAGGTACCGATGTTGACACTTCCATTTCTGATATTTGGGTACTGTTTTGCTGGGTATTGAGTCTGGAGTGATGCGCTTGAGAGGGTGTGTTCTGGGATGGTGGGGGTAATTGCCTTTGTTTGGGAATGGGTTGGGGGTTGTCTTCGAGAATAGGATGATCTCTTTGGGGTGTATTGGAGGATAATGAGAATCAAGTCCTGATGAGTGCAGACGGGATTTGTTTTTGTTAGATACAAAGATGTGCTTGTTGTTGTGTGGGCTCGCAGGCTGCTTCTTAGAGGGGGGAGGCTGTACTGCACCTGCACATTTGTTCACACCCTCTTTTGGATAAAGTAGCATTTGAGAGATTACTCGTACAACAAAGTTGGAAGCACGTCAACTCGGATTTTTCCATGTAAAGAAAAAGAACAAGCGGATTACTCGTGACAGAAATGAGAACCACCCATGAAAAGCTTCTCAGGATTTGAAAACATGCCGCAACACAAGGAGAACATAAAAGCGGATGCATGCAATGAAGACCTTACAGTGAATGATGGCTTGAGGCTACCTCTTTGCCTTCAAATCGTGGCATATAAATAGGGCTGACTCACGTCTCGCTTGTAAGCAGCCCCAAAATCGACACCGACACCTTCTGCAGCTGCCTTGATTGGCTCGATAAATGACTTTTGAAGCGCATCAGGGACACATTCGCATCGAGTAGCAGTGGGCGGATCCAATTCTTTGAGAAATTTGCACACGATGATAAGTAGTCCGAGGTTGGGAAATTTCTGCGTCCTGCATGCGAACAGTTCCATCAACTCCTGATGGAGTCGATCGGTATGCTCTGCATGGCACTCCGTCAGGAAGAGACGTTCTAAGCTTCCAGGGAGGATATTCTTCAAAGCCTTGTTTGGCTCGAAACTCTCGGAGCGGAAGTCTAGGAGATTGACAACACGCATGCGTAGCTCTTGCAACTTCACAAAATCTGCTAACGAGCCAAACCAATTGTCAGGAGGATCGAGCTCGGACTCTGCCTCTCCGTCATCATCTTCGTCGAAATCAGTTCCAATATCATAAAATGATTGGCCGTGAAGCCTAAGCTCTACCAGACTATGCTTTTGGGTTGAAAGGGAACTGTAGAATGCCCTGGGACGAAATCTCCTGTACGACTCCCCAATTAATTCTATGTCGTTATGCTGCCAATCGAAAACTTTGAGGTTCTGGCAAGCTGTTATTAGTTCTCTCATGCCATACCTTCCGTTGCCCATTATCTCGATTTCAGTGATGGGCAAAGTCCCCCGTTCGAACCCAAGGCCAGGCATTGTATCACCGTTGTCTGAGTCCATCAATCCGCACCACAGTGTGACCTGTCTCATAGATGGGAGATTAAACAAAGGTAGGTAATCGCTCGCCTGGGATGGTAGCCACAGGCCGGATGAACCGATTATAGTAATAAAACCACAGAGCTCCTGCAATATAGATGTGAAGGCTGCCTCTCCTGCTGCTGCCCGTAACACGATACTGCGAATAAATTTGCCAACACACCATGCGGGCTCCACGTGCAAACTAGAAAGATTTGGCAAATATGTCAGAAGAACAGCAATCCATGCATCACAACTGCCTCTAACCAACTCCCCTTCCCATTCCGTAGTTTCTTTTGGTGACTGGCTGATCTCTGCAACACGGCTGCCGATGCTAGAGATATCATTCCTTGTAACCTCAAAATCGGCACTTGACGCTGTGATATTCAGAGCGACGTTGGGTATAGCAATAGATGGGTTACCATGGACTGTGGTCAAGAAAGGCTCTATTTGCTTCTCATTCAAGCTGATCACGTGGTAGGCGCGAGAAAGAAACAACGAACGCCAGCGCTTACACACGAGAAGCAGAGGCATGTAATCATTTTGATTGAAGCTTTGCATGTTCTCTTCCCCAATAAGTAGTAGAATCTCATTTGGCAGCTTTTCCATGTTGAATTTAGGTTTCGGAGGAATAATCAGCGTATCACTCAGTTGATCAGCCCCGTGATGGCCGAGGGATGGCTTCCTGGTCTTGATGCTCGGGCCAGACAGAAGAAGGAGGAACTAAAGAGAGCTTCACTTTTCGACGAATTTGTTAGCTGATAAAGTAAGAGATCAAGAGAAGTGATACCCGCGGGTATCAGACATGGAAGGAACTTCCTTACCTTGAGATGAATCATCCGTTACTGGCACAGTAGGCTTTTGACATGCGCTACTAAGGGGTGACGGTGATTGTAAATGACCTCCTGACAAGCTCGAAATAAGATGAGAGCCGACTGGCCGAGCCACGATGTTGAGATCAGCACTTTGCAAGTGAGAACAGTTCCACAGCAGATTCTGGTAAGCCAAAGCTTGTGACGAGTGGTATAGAAAGAAGAGAAAGGTAAAGATAAGGTTTAGGGTTCGTTGGTTGTTTATTTGAGAAGTAGAACAGAACGATTGCGGAAGTCGAGGAGTTGAGGGAGGTAAGTGAGGTGGTGCTGTAAGTGGATTCGGCGAGAGCGTGAGGGAGGACTAAGTGACCGACCACTTCACCTTCTGCCTTCTATCCTGTCTTCCACACTACCCCCAACCTTTCTTTAAGTCTCTTCGTTTATTTCCTCTGTGCAGCAATCTCAATTACTCTCTGAGTCCCAAATTGTTTTCACACCCGCCCATGTGCCATGCCACGGAAACCTGAGACTGTATCCTAGCATCTTGTGAGAATCAGTTCATTCCTATACATTTTCAGAGAAACACTTTCGAGTTAGCGGTGCTTGATGCTAATATAAACCGACAATCACCGCAGGACAAAACGATAATAATAACCTCGACGAAACCACACAGATCGAATCAGAAATGATTCAGAATAGACTCACATCTAATTTCCTCTCGCAAAATGAATTCATCCTGCTACCGTTTCACAGAGACAGCCTCAAACTCATCATATTGAACGAACGATGACCAGGCGTCAGACACACAATTTTGAGAGGCTTAGATAGTGACAACAAGGGCGTGGAGGACATAGAGCTTGGCGCAACCAAGACCGTGCGAGTCTTTCGAAGAATACCAATACTTGTCGACATATTGTGGTATTTTGCGGTGCGCATGCTACAAACAAGTAGGAAAGGCAGCTCAAACGACAACTATTTGCCGAGAGACATAATCAAGTCCACCGGATGACTTGCCGGCGACTGGGTCGCTGGGTTGAGCAGTGGAAGAGGGGTAGTAAGACGATCCTCGGATAACGCATAACCCTGCAAACAGCCCGAAGAGGAGAAAACAAGAGTACTGAGTGATGTGGAAATGAGAAATGGAGAGCGGGGGAAGAAGAAATGGCGAGAGGAGCTTTCCAGCTCCCAAGTCTTGTTTTCAAGGCTCTCTTGATAGCTCCTTCCACTCCCAACCCAATGAAATAACTCGTTTCTCGCCAGAGATCATTCGATCAGGTTTCTCCATAACCACACACAAGCGTCGATAACCAGAAGCTGAGAAGGTGTCCTTCGAGAGATGAGTGAAAAGCTATGGCAGCATCAACTGTTTCAGTTCGTGGATGTCGGTAGATGTAGGCTATATCGGGATTCATGTGTTAGATTACGAGATTGGGTGAATCATTAGCACCGAAGTTTGTTGTTGAGTCTCATTTATCATTAAGTTACAAAGCCATTCAACTCCTTCAAAAGCCTGCGAGGTCATTAGCCAAAAGTCTATAAATCAGCACCGATACTCTCCACTTACCCTTCTCTGTGTTGCCCTCGCCCATACTCTTGCTGCTGCTACTGCCGCTCTGGATTGCCCCAAGAATGCCGTCAAGATAGGGCGCACCACTCCATTTCTGGTGTGTAAGAACATCCACGCCCAGCTCCTTCTCCCGAGCTTGAACCATGCGCACGTAAGCGAGCATACCGTCTTCCTTGAAAGCGCGGGAGAGTTCTGTCGTGATAGTTGCGTTGCTGTGCAGTCCAGCGAGCGAGATGAGTTGAAGTACGAACCTAAGCAAGTCAGTCTTTCTGATCTTCAAAATTAGAAGTGGCCGACTGACCCGTGTTGCGCCAAATCCCAAATGAACGATTTAAGAGACGCTTCGTCGAAACCATGTCCCATCCAGTTGAAGGACGGACTCAGATTGTACACCAGCTTCTTACCGGGGAACGCCTTGCGCACCTCTCCTGCCAACGACCCTGCTTTCGCAACGTCTGGGTCACCGGTCTCGACCCAGAGAAGATCCGCATACGGTGCGAACTCCCGTGCTCGCTTCGTAGCTGCGGGGAATCCAGCACGGTAGTGGTAATATCCTTCCCTGGTACGGGGACTATCACAAGACCAGACAACCGGTTTCTTTGTGTAATCGCTGGCGAGGACTCTGCGGCGGGAGATTGAAAGATCAGGGCTCTCTTGAACGCGCTTCTTGTATGCGTCCCGGGCGGACTGAGGAGCCTTTTCTGCTTCGAGATGTGCGTCGACGGCTATATCACGCCACGCGGTTAGTTCCAGAGGTTGAGAAGGGCGAGTGTTAGATCGGAAGCAGACCTTCATCAAAGGTGACCAGCTTGTGTTTCTTGACCCACTCAGATTCATAGGCATCGATCTCCGAAGGGGCAGCGCCCTCCCTCTCCATGGCCTGCAAAGTCTCGGCGAGTGGCTCAACCTCCTCCGTCACTCCAAGAATGAATTCGTGGTCGCGCACATCGATAGCACTGCTGATGAGCCGTCCACTTTCGGAGTCTGTGCGTGCGATAAGCAGGTTCTCGGTTCCCATCAGATCCCACTGGAAGCGAGCTGCGACCAATCTGTTGATATGCTCCCCGATGGGCACAAGTACCTTGCCAGCTAGGTGACCGCATTTCTTTCCGCCATGAAGCTGGTCCTCGAAGTGCACTGCGGCAGCGCCATTCTCCGCGAAAAGCTTGGCCAGCTTCAGTACCGCGGAAAGTCCACCATGTCTGTATGGAACGTTAACAACGTGATCTTGGCCGAATCCGTCCAAGTGAGCACAGCACATACCCCGTATCACCGTCAGCCACGATCGGACGCAGGTAATCAACGTATGGAGTCGACTTCCGTTGCTCAGCGGTCAGCTTCCGTCTAGCGTCCCACTGTTTCCGATCGTGTAGCTGTTGCGCCTTGAACAATCGCTGGACTTGATTGGGCACCGTGTTGTATGGATAATCGCCGAAGTCTGGAGACACCTCGTTGGTCGTCGTCAGGAGTGACGAGCAAGCCCATCCCGAGATGTACAGGACCTCCTGGTGAGGTGCCTGCTGCGTCATCTGGACCGGGTCAATGGCGCCCACTTGGCAATAGTTAGCACACCAAGAAAAAAATTGGATAAAGACCGAGGAACCATTGCCGATACATACTCGTGTGAACCGGCTTTCCTTGCGCTGCCTTTTCATTCAACAGATGGAAAAGCTTCCGCGCCATCAACGAACTCGGGTATGTTTGTTGCAGGGAACCGCGTTTGCTGACAACATCTGCGGCGGAGTAAGGCCGCTTGATGCCCTCGAAGCGGGGAGATTGCCACCATTCTTCCACATCTCTTATTTGCTGTTCGTAGAGAGCATCCTCAGCTGCCCCGGTCTTGTCTGCTGTAGAGAGAAGTTGGTATGAATCCGCAGGCAACGTTGCTGAGACGGGTGGTTCCACGGGGGGGAGCGATGATGCCGACATCCGCGGATAACCGCATGTGAAGGAGCGCACAGCAAAGCGCGATAGACTGCCTTCAGTGACGGGTCGGAGAGGAATATGTCGAGGGAGCCGACGGGGAAAAGAGCGAAGCATCATTTAAAGAGTCGCGTTCAGATACCACAAGGTTTACGTTCTCTGTGGAGAAGGGAGGGATGTGTGTCTGGGGAGAAGGGGTCACTTTAAGGTGGCACTCGGTCCGAGCACCGTCGCAAGCCGGCCGATCAAACCAGCCTCGGTCTGGGGGCGGGCAATCCACACATCCCGCAATACCCGCTTATCCGGGGTGGCTGGTACTTACTAGCTTGAGAATAGTAACTTACACTATTACAGTATTGACTAGCTAGTCCACGACTGAAATTCGGGAAACAAGATGCAATACTAACTGAAATTGTATTTTTGTGGTTTCGGGTTTTTATCTTTCCATGAAACTTGTTCAGGCTCATCTGAATGGGAACACATACAGTAGGTCCAGCAGTGGGAAAGAACAGAACATCTCGTTTGTGATAATGAAACAAGGTAATGAAGCCAGATCATGAAACAAGAGGTGATGCGGAGATCATCCGTGTGCTCGAAGCAACTTCCTCGTGATTATGCCTTGGCCCTACATTTCAATAAGGCTTACTCGTGCCCCATTTCAATCATGAGGGAACGGAAGTTCTGGTTCTTAATAACCTTGCAGAACTCCTTGTGTTTGTTGACGTTCCAGCTGCCCGCCTTACAGCCCTAGCACAGAGTTAGCAGACTCATCTTTGACCATATTGGTTCGATCTATCGAGGGAGATCTCCTTACGCTGTTGCAGTATCCGATGACACCGCAGCCATCGCAGGTCGTGATGTGGTCAGGCTCATTACGACACCAGTGACACCTCTGATGGGCAGCAAAGTTCAGAGGCCAGGTTCTCATCTCATCACTGAGTTCCAGAAGCTCGTCCAACGAGGTTGGGATGATCTTGATTCGCATGGGTTAGCACCGGTTTACCAGGGAAGGAGCGTGATTGTCAGGGCTCAAACATCCATACCTTGAGTTGGCGATATTGGTAGACACGGATGCCATAAACCTCAATTCCGAACTGATGCTTGCGGGCCTGCATGATGGCGATGGTATTTCCAACCTTCAGGTGCGGACACTGACTGAGAGCACGGCCTTCATCCGGTCCCTCGAATCGCAGGGTGACAAGGTGTAGATCAGTGCTGCGGCACCCGATGACGAGGTAGGGCATTGTCTCGAAAGCGAGGATCTCGAGCAGGAGACAGCCATCTATTCCGGGAGTCCGTTCGTGGGTGTCGAGGTCCTCGATGGGGATAGCGGCAAAGCCGGGGAAGCGACTGGTGTCTCTGAGATCAGGGTACGAGATAGTCATCGTGAAGGGTAGCGTTGATGATCAAGCTGTAGGAAGTGATGATATTCTGGGGAGCGAGAAGGATGGGTGTAGATGGAGTTGTGCTCACAGAAGAAGTGCTCACAGAAGAAGTACTCACTAAGATGATGGGACGTGTTAGAAATGGGAAGGAGCGATGAACGACTCAGCGAACGACTCAGCGCCGAGATGAAAACTCTTCATTAGGATACATTCACCAAGATACAGCAGCCTAGTCAACATCTACAGTATTTAGTTACTGAATGCTGGACATTCTGAGCACTTTCGATAGCTTTGATCTCGATCTACTTATACTAAGCGCTTGCGAAGAGACGAATATGTCTTTTGCATGATAGACTTTCTGTTCAAGAAAGCGCTCACATATTCTGCTAGGCAGGTTTCTGCTATTGTATACAACTTTGCACAGTTATACAAGATTCTGTAGTTGAGGCGAGGATATGCCAAAGTTATAGTTAAGAAGACCAAGCCGCTAGCCAGCTATGCATACAATCACAAAAAACAACCACCAAGAACAACCACAAAGAGCACCTACATTAAGAATAATATTCATATAGTCTACCTGATATCATTCAGCTGGCTAGCCTGTACACTCTACTCTCAATTAAACAAGTCTTAAGATATTAACAACTTGAACCTGTAAAGATACAGAATGTCCTTTCATTATAGGTGAAAGCGGCTGGTCCTCTTATATAGAGAAGCCATCAATGCCGATGACACTGGAATATCACGTGGATATCAGTCCTGGAATCCTAAGTTTTAAAAATTATTGGAGTACTAAACATCCCAATTTGTACCTGTCATATAGACGGATCGGTAGACCCAGAATGATCGTGTCATGGCAAATGCGGGCACTTGCCTCTTGTCCTACAGAGCTTTGCAAAAGCACGCTCCCAAGAACTAAAGAATTGGAATTAGCTTGCTAGGTTTTTTAGCACAACTGCCTAGGCCATACATCCGCTATGCTGTTGGCTGACTCGAATATCTGGGAGCCTGAATCCCGCACCTCATGACGGCAGCCAACCGAGCTATGTCTTACTCTGGCCATACATCACATAAATAGTTCTTATTCCAAGGCCAGGGCCTGTATTATACTGGCCTTCTGATATAGCGGTGAAGACCAGCTGCACGCTTGCTCGTCTTCCGATTTGCCAATATGTAGGCGGATATGCCGATACCTGGATTATCATATGAGACAGTAGCATCTCGAGTGTGCGTGCAGGACCGAGAATGCATCCACTGGTGCTATGCAGTTGACTTGCATGGTCTTACGTTGCGTCAAACCATTCAGTCGGTATCTGACTCTCTGACGTGTCAGGCCGAGATTCGTCTTTTGATTTAGGTATCCTTGCATTCCATTTCGATCTACGATTCATTAATGCCACGATGATTTTCTGCACCAAATTTCTCGCAGTAGACACGAAGCGAGTTTTAATGAACTCCAATGAAGAGATTTCCAAGGCCTGCCCAGAAGGATTGGGAGAGCAGTGAAGCACAGGTTTGTGCAACAGCGCTAGCCTCTTGAAGGTTTTTGGAGGAGCTATAGGATACCTAATATTGGCAGATGGTACATGATACCAGGCTATGGAGTAATCTCACCGATGAACATGTCGGAGCATAAAAGCGGAGGGAGAACCTGGCATTTGGAAAAGAAATCATAACCTTTGTTGGTCTTTCTCCAGACGAGGCTCAGGCAGAATCGAACCAAGGCGACATGTGTGGACTGACGGCATTCTTAGGTCTGAATGGAGTTGATCGCGATGAGAGCACTACTGTGTCATCCCACAGGCTGGCATGTCAGATAAACGACAGTCTAGACTTGGTCAAGCATAGAGGTCCTGATGCGCGTGGCCAGTGGATCAGCCCTGACACTCGAGTTGGTCGGTCGATCACTTCCTATGCCGTGAAAGGAGGTTAACATAATTTCAAGGCTTCGGGCATGTACGCCTTTCAATCATTGATCTTAGCCCAGCCGGAAACCAGCCTTTCCACAGTAAAGATGACACTATCCAAGCCGTCGTCAATGGAGAACTTTATGACCACGAGCGAATTCGAAGTGAGCTGGCCAACGAATATGAGTTTGTTAGCAAGAGTGACTGTGAGATTGTCATTGCCCTATACCACCGTTATGGACTGTCATTCGTCTCTCACTTGAGAGGAGAATTCGCTTTGGTACTTTGGGATGCGAAACACAACCGTTTCATAGCTGCGCGAGACAGATATGGCATCAAGTCGCTCTATTATACCATTATCGATGGAAGGCTTCACGTCGCAACTGAGATGAAATCTTTCTTGCCATTTGGATGGGTTCCAGAGTGGGACATTGCCAATCTTAAAGGAGTGGGATGGATGTATGGGGCGAAAATGTACTTCAAGGGAGTGCATCGTGTAAGTTGTCGATGAGAGATGAGCTGGACCGAAGCTGATGGCTATTTCTAGATCGAACCTGGTCAAATGCTCGTGAGTGACAACTTCCAGCCATTCGAGTTGCAGACGTACTGGGATTTAGAGTATCCCGACAAGGCGAGTAATATCCACTCCCAGCAGACTGTACGACGCTGATTGTATATAGAAGCTGGTATATGCAGGCACCGAAGCTGAGGCAGTCGCTCGAGTGCGAGAATTGCTGCTCGATTCGGTGCGGTTTCGACTTCGCGCCGATGTGGGTGTTGGTGTGTTCCTGAGCGGCGGGCTGGACTCGTCTGCAGTTGCAGGCATGACAGCGCATTTGATGAAGCAAGGAACAAGACTTGGAAATGAAACAACCGGTGATACCTCGAGGCTAAGCTGCTTCACGGTGCAATTCGAGAAAGAGTCGGGGATCGATGAGTCCGGTTTGTTTTCTCCCGATCGAGAAACTTCTCCCCCTTATCTTCTCCAATCTGACACTCCATAGATATTGCTCGACGGACTGCGGAGTGGCTTGGAGTGGATTTCCACGCAGTGTTGCTGGACGAAGAGACCATCGCGTCTCGACTGGAGGATACAATCTGGTACACGGAAACGCCGCTCCCTGATGTGGACGGGATGGGTCGACTGGCCGTTGCAGAGGCCGCTCACAACGCAGGAAAGAGAGTTGTTCTCACCGGCGAAGGATCAGACGAACATTTTGCAGGATACAGTGACCTGATGTGGAGCTATTTGAGTGAGCCAGACCACGCATGGCCCGCATCTTTACTAGCCGTCAACGGCAGCCGAGAAGAGATGGAGGCTACCGTCAATCAGAGAATGGCACAAGCGGTAGCAAAGGTAACCGCCAAGTCAGGGACTGAACATAGTTTCAGCCACACCTCTATATTTCCAGCACTTGCTTGGTTCAGTCAATTACCCTTTCAGGCATGGACGGAGAAATACACCCAAGGTGACCCAGAATTGTCTTTTTTCCGAAGCTTTCGTGAGAAGACTATCAACGACATGGAACAGAAATGGCACTCGCTAAATTCATCTCAATACCAGTGGACCAAGTCAATGCTGGCAAATGGTATTCTTCGATATATTGGCGACAATATAGACATGGTTTTTCAGGTGGAGACGCGGCCACCGTTTCTCGATCATCACCTCACAGAATATGTGAATACTATACCGCCAAGTCTAAAGATAAGATATGATCCAGAGAGAAAGATCTTTCGTGAAAAGCATGTTCTTCGCGAAGCCATGAGACCATTCATCACCGAAGAGGTTTCGAATCGCGTGAAGCAACCATATCTTGGTCCAACTAAATACAAGGAAAATGGACCTGTGTATCACACTTTGAAGCGGTTACTTACAGAGGCCAATGTTCAGAACCTGGGCTTTGTTGACTGGAGCAAGGTCCAACACACCTTCACACGCGCATTTTGTGACGATGACCCCAATGCTTTTAGAAGTACTCTCTTTGTGGCTCAACTTGTGGTACTGGCCCAAAGATTTGGAGTAAAGCCGGCAAGCGCGATTTAGCATCCGTCTTCATTAGAGATAAGTCATAGGTGAAGCCGAATTCCATTCCTAAATTTCTCGGTCAGCCAGATATAATGAAATAGATTGGTGCAAGCTCGCTCAGATAGTCTGTTCACTTGCTGGGTACAAGGTTGATGAATTGGAGACCCCATGGACTGAACCAAGAGTAGCTTATGAGAAGCCCCCATCGACTCTAGAACAAATCCTTCATCAGCACTGAAACTAGCAAGTAATGGAGATCATGAGTGGTCTACTCATACTAAAAGACTGGGCAGAGTCAGAGTCGCGCATGTCGCTACAAGGTGATCACGTTGCTCCCTGAGCACGTTTGCTATTTCCCCCCACACACTTCGCAATCAGCGTCGCGTGAGTTGAGATGCTGAGGTCTGAGAATCAAGTGGCGATGGCTCGCAAGGATTCCGGCAGCTTCTATGTTCCCTGCCACTTGATGGAAGGCTTTGATCCTGTCGCCAGGGTGGGTCATCAGTCCGCGGGTATCTTATGTCTGAAACCAAACCTGGCGAGCGATGTCGGAGACTCAAATGGGGTCTGCTTGGCTATGCCCACTACTCTCATAGCATCATGTAATGCTAACTACGATACTTGAGTAACGAGGCTTTGGGTATTGACCTTCTATTATCTCTGTGCACTGAAGGTGGTTTGAGAGGACTCGGACTAGAATGTTTGCATCATCTTTCTGCCACCTCTCCGATAGCGTGCGGAGAACTTATCGGACCCCTCGTTGATCGACTACCTTGCAATCCCCACTCCGCTCCCGTATGGGGGTCCAAGAACCAACCGAAGCTCGACGATAATGAGCGCGCGGCAGAGGCGACATATAGCGTTCGCCTCTCAACGACGGTCCCCTATGAAGTTGAAACATACGTCATGTGTCATCTTCGTTCGAGACATATTCATGAACTCAGCCTTATGTTGAAACATGGGTCCAGGAGACACCAGTTCTGCTGCAAGTGCTCGCTCGATATCTCTCAGGTAACCAGCACTGCATACACTCCGTTCATCTATTAACGATCTCAATGGCATAGAAAGCTTAATTGTCACACCTGATGTCGCAATCTACTGCGAAGACTATGAACGACTAGGATGATCTAGGTCGCTAACGATCGTTGCTTGGGCAGGAGTTTAAATTCTGCCACTAACAGTGCAACAAACACGAGGTTGGTAGCTATCTCGATGGCCCATGTCCATCCCAGGCCAGTGGGTCTTTCCGAAGCTGAAAGAAAGGGCTGTCCAACATCGTTCAACATGCGATGACCCTGCAGTGGAGGTCTAGAATCAAAGCATGGCACTTGAACTCGTGGAGAATCAGTTGACGGTCTGGTCGACTGACCACATACCTTCTTGAACCGAACCATGTGTGATCAGTGACCCCCTCACATATGGCTTTGCGCCGAGGATTGGGTGTCGGAACTTTCGAAGACGACTGCTGGCTAGACTTTCTCTTTGTCCAACCTAAGCAAGTGTCCGACCGCCGAAGGGAGAGAAATGTACAGTACATAGTAGCAAGGGTTAAAGTGTTGATACTAGTTCTTTGTTTTTGGTTGACTGACTCCACTCCGCGGAAGCTGCGGTAGTTACGCTGCTTGTTGTATGCAGTGTCAGACTGTGAAAGACATCCGATCAAAGATGTATGCGGATTCGCATGGAACAGTAGTCTAGTGAGTGATTGAAAGAGGTCAAGGTAATGCAATCGACTGCAACTGTACAGAAAGTACCGAGGCGGGATGGTCACGGGGATCTCCTCCCACCATTCCGGGTAGCCGTGACCAGTCGAACCTCGCCGATTCCTCTCGTTTCTCCAACCCGCTCTTCGTGTGGCACCCCCTCAATTTCCTGCCGACGACTGTGGCCTCCTGCGCGCTGGCCTGCATCCCCCTGCAATGGGACTACTGGGAAAGCTATATTCTATTCCGCTGTTCTTAGGACTCCCTGCCTGAAAAGATTGGTGGATCGATGGTTGGGACGGACTGAGGTCGTGGGGGATGTTGATTATGGGAATGGATTGTTGTTTGCCTCCACCCCCTCCCCCTCCATCTCCATCTATCATCATCGAATAATGCAGGAAGTGAACAATTTCCAGCTCCAATCGTTCCGGCTCCAATGCAAACCCGGCTTTTGTCTGAGCTCCTGCCTTAAACCGACGAATCCGCGTTGTACAACTCGCACCAGCTGTCTCCGCAATCTGCTGCTCTAGTGCGACTCTTATCACCCTCATGGCGCTTTCTCCTCACTGTCCGGGGCCTTGTCGGGGCACTGAGTTATCTATCATCTACCCACACCTTTCCTATCTCCGCTGCTTATTCTGCCATCTGGCTCTTCTAAGGAGCCTTATCTCGTTCACAACCCGGATCGAGCAGATCGTGATTTCTTGCTCCTTCGCCCGCCTAGATTATACTCTGCGGCATTATTCTCCCTGCCCGAAAAAACAACCAAACTTCTAGCCTTCTCTTCTCTCCATCGGATACTACTACGTTAAACCTGGCGGAGTCCATGTCATCATCAGGTCTAATTTGGGCATGGAACACATTAAGATCCCTTCCCCGTCTGCGATCTTAGACATTCAACCTTCGCCTCCGTCAACAGAAGGGTCTTCTAAGCCTCCTTCTTCCTCCCAGAGGTCTACCTCAAGCCAGCCCGGTGCCTCCAGGGATCCTAACAAACCGAAGCAGTCAAAAAGCCGTAACGGTACGGTACCATTCATTCCTAGTACCCTAATGAGACGACAGACGGGAACAGAGTTGTTCTCGGGTGAAACTACAGCATCAGAGAGAAGACGGCACGGACGTTCTCAGGGTGCGCAGTGCGCTGACGTTCTTATCATTTCTATAACCCAGGCTGTATTACCTGCAAGGCAAAACGATTGAAATGTGACGAATCCAAGCCGACGTGCCTTCAATGTAAGAAACGGAAGGTGGAGTGTGGAGGATACAAGAAAGATTTCAAATGGCGCCCTTTCGAAGAGACTAACGTTGGCTGCAAGAACGTGTCGACGAAAAGCAAAAAAGGTATCCCTACTTGATATGGAATTGTTGGCTTTTGTACATTGCTGACATGAATGTTCCAAAGCCATCTCATCACCCCCGGGTCGGAAGTCTAGCCTTGACTTTTCTACGTCTCCGGACTCGCAGTCCACTGAGGGGTGGTCGAGGACCCTGTCTAATTCTTTGCCTCTCTTCTCACCAGGGAGTGAAAGGTCTGCACTCGCGCTTGGCTTTTCGAAAGGGGATGAGCCGACTCCAGGGCGTGCAAAGGTGGATGCAGTACCAAAGCAACATCTCTTTGTCCCTACGGATGATCTCATAGGCCCGCTAGATATAGCAAGCCTTAATGATAGCATCCTAGCCCCATCACTAATCGAGATTCCACCCCTGGAGCCATCCTCCTATATTTCCGATGTGTCACTGTCTAATGCGGGGATGCAATCTCGACCCACCCTAGGTGGCGTTTCCCAACACGACAGCCCGCCAAGGCACCACAGTTTTAGCTTTGAGGCCTTGATGGAGGTCGAAAACGATGACATTGAGGAGATTATAAGGAAGTCAGAACTTCCTCTGGGGTCGACTTTCTTAAACAGCACAGAGTGCATCAATTCTGCGCAGGCCAAGAATACAAATCTCACCCCGAAGATCCTCTCAGAGCCAAATTTTAGCATGGTCAGTCCCGAAATGCTGGTGTTGCAGTTCGACAGATTCACATGTGGGATCCTGTCTGTGAAGGACGGTGCCCACGAGAACCCATGGCGGACACTGATTTGGCCCCTAGCCAAGGAGACCCCAGCGCTATATCATGCCGTATTTTCTCTAGCGGCATTTCACTCCAGCAAGGAGATCCCCAGCCTCAGGGTTCATGGGATGGATCATATGCGGCAGAGCATCACCTACATGGTGCACGACATACAAAATATGAGAGCAGATGCAGCCTTGGCCACGAGTCTCGCGCTGGCATTTGCGGAGACATGGGATCAGCATACGCGCACATGTATCCAGCACTTGCGGGGAGCCAAGGCGTTGGTGTCACAGGTTGTAGGATTTGGTCTTCAAAGCGGGATGTGCGGCAGTGACCTGGATAGAATTCGGTTTCTGTATAACACCTGGCTATACATGGATGTGATTTCTCGCCTGACATCCCGGGAAGAATCCGGGGATCAGGAGGTAGATACCTCTGTTTTCCAGTTGCCCAAGGATGCAGTGCACGAGATCGACCCTCTAATGGGTTGCGCGACAACCCTTTTCCCGTTAATCCACCAAGTCGCGCGCCTGATCCAGCGAGTTCGCAGAACCGAGTCCAACTCCCTCTCTATTGTCTCGCAGGCCATAGAATTGAAAACCCAGGTTGAGCAATGGGAGCCCCCCCGCTGCTTCGAACCCCCAGATGACCCCACGTCGGAGGTACAGCATAGTATCCAAACCGCACACGCTTACCGCTGGGCGACACTGTTGTACCTTCACCAAGCAGTTCCTGAAATGCCCTCCGAGCCAGCATCGGAGCTGTCCAAGCGTGTCTTGATGCTGCTGGCCACAGTTCCCCCCAGCTCCCGTACCACCATCATCCAAATGTTTCCTCTTTTGGCGGCTGGGTGTGAAGCAGAGCAAGAGGAGGATCGCCAGTGGGTGCTCAATCGATGGCTAGCAATCCAATCACGTCTCATGCTTGGGTCTATTGATCGTTGCATCGAGATTGTCCGAGAGGTTTGGGATCGCCGCGATGCCGCGGGGCTTGAGCAGCCCGATTATTTACCCACGAAAAGGCTTGAGATTGATAAGACAACAAATGTAGGCCGTGGGTCAGGTGAGCGTGGCTTCACCAGCAGCTTTGCTGAGCCTTGGAGAAGATCGAGTATGGCCGATCGGGTACCTTCTAAGGGCTCTTCGGGGAAGCCACGACGGACCTCGGCAATCTCTCCGCTGGAAAATATCGAATTTGATAGGACTGTTCGTGGAAATTTGCATTGGGTCAATGTGATGCAGGAATGGGGTTGG